CCTTCACCCTTCACTCATATCTATGCACACGTAGCTTGACACTTGATCACCTATCACCCCTTCACCCTTCACTCATATCTATGCACACGTAGCTTGACACTTGATCACCTATCACCCCTTCACCCTTCACTCATATCTATGCACACGTAGCTTGACACTTGATCACCTATCACCCCTTCACCCTTCACTCATATCTATGCACACGTAGCTTGACACTTGATCACCTATCACCCCTTCACCCTTCACTCATATCTATGCACACGTAGCTTGACACTTGATCACCTATCACCCCTTCACCCTTCACTCATATCTATGCACACGTAGCTTGACACTTGATCACCTATCACCCCTTCACCCTTCACTCATATCTATGCACACGTAGCTTGACACTTGATCACCTATCACCCCTTCACCCTTCACTCATATCTATGCACACGTAGCTTGACACTTGATCACCTATCACCCCTTCACCCTTCACTCATATCTATGCACACGTAGCTTGACACTTGATCACCTATCACCCCTTCACCCTTCACTCATATCTATGCACACGTAGCTTGACACTTGATCACCTATCACCCCTTCACCCTTCACTCATATCTATGCACACGTAGCTTGACACTTGATCACCTATCACCCCTTCACCCTTCACTCATATCTATGCACACGTAGCTTGACACTTGATCACCTATCACCCCTTCACCCTTCACTCATATCTATGCACACGTAGCTTGACACTTGATCACCTATCACCCCTTCACCCTTCACTCATATCTATGCACACGTAGCTTGACACTTGATCACCTATCACCCCTTCACCCTTCACTCATATCTATGCACACGTAGCTTGACACTTGATCACCTATCACCCCTTCACCCTTCACTCATATCTATGCACACGTAGCTTGACACTTGATCACCTATCACCCCTTCACCCTTCACTCATATCTATGCACACGTAGCTTGACACTTGATCACCTATCACCCCTTCACCCTTCACTCATATCTATGCACACGTAGCTTGACACTTGATCACCTATCACCCCTTCACCCTTCACTCATATCTATGCACACGTAGCTTGACACTTGATCACCTATCACCCCTTCACCCTTCACTCATATCTATGCACACGTAGCTTGACACTTGATCACCTATCACCCCTTCACCCTTCACTCATATCTATGCACACGTAGCTTGACACTTGATCACCTATCACCCCTTCACCCTTCACTCATATCTATGCACACGTAGCTTGACACTTGATCACCTATCACCCCTTCACCCTTCACTCATATCTATGCACACGTAGCTTGACACTTGATCACCTATCACCCCTTCACCCTTCACTCATATCTATGCACACGTAGCTTGACACTTGATCACCTATCACCCCTTCACCCTTCACTCATATCTATGCACACGTAGCTTGACACTTGATCACCTATCACCCCTTCACCCTTCACTCATATCTATGCACACGTAGCTTGACACTTGATCACCTATCACCCCTTCACCCTTCACTCATATCTATGCACACGTAGCTTGACACTTGATCACCTATCACCCCTTCACCCTTCACTCATATCTATGCACACGTAGCTTGACACTTGATCACCTATCACCCCTTCACCCTTCACTCATATCTATGCACACGTAGCTTGACACTTGATCACCTATCACCCCTTCACCCTTCACTCATATCTATGCACACGTAGCTTGACACTTGATCACCTATCACCCCTTCACCCTTCACTCATATCTATGCACACGTAGCTTGACACTTGATCACCTATCACCCCTTCACCCTTCACTCATATCTATGCACACGTAGCTTGACACTTGATCACCTATCACCCCTTCACCCTTCACTCATATCTATGCACACGTAGCTTGACACTTGATCACCTATCACCCCTTCACCCTTCACTCATATCTATGCACACGTAGCTTGACACTTGATCACCTATCACCCCTTCACCCTTCACTCATATCTATGCACACGTAGCTTGACACTTGATCACCTATCACCCCTTCACCCTTCACTCATATCTATGCACACGTAGCTTGACACTTGATCACCTATCACCCCTTCACCCTTCACTCATATCTATGCACACGTAGCTTGACACTTGATCACCTATCACCCCTTCACCCTTCACTCATATCTATGCACACGTAGCTTGACACTTGATCACCTATCACCCCTTCACCCTTCACTCATATCTATGCACACGTAGCTTGACACTTGATCACCTATCACCCCTTCACCCTTCACTCATATCTATGCACACGTAGCTTGACACTTGATCACCTATCACCCCTTCACCCTTCACTCATATCTATGCACACGTAGCTTGACACTTGATCACCTATCACCCCTTCACCCTTCACTCATATCTATGCACACGTAGCTTGACACTTGATCACCTATCACCCCTTCACCCTTCACTCATATCTATGCACACGTAGCTTGACACTTGATCACCTATCACCCCTTCACCCTTCACTCATATCTATGCACACGTAGCTTGACACTTGATCACCTATCACCCCTTCACCCTTCACTCATATCTATGCACACGTAGCTTGACACTTGATCACCTATCACCCCTTCACCCTTCACTCATATCTATGCACACGTAGCTTGACACTTGATCACCTATCACCCCTTCACCCTTCACTCATATCTATGCACACGTAGCTTGACACTTGATCACCTATCACCCCTTCACCCTTCACTCATATCTATGCACACGTAGCTTGACACTTGATCACCTATCACCCCTTCACCCTTCACTCATATCTATGCACACGTAGCTTGACACTTGATCACCTATCACCCCTTCACCCTTCACTCATATCTATGCACACGTAGCTTGACACTTGATCACCTATCACCCCTTCACCCTTCACTCATATCTATGCACACGTAGCTTGACACTTGATCACCTATCACCCCTTCACCCTTCACTCATATCTATGCACACGTAGCTTGACACTTGATCACCTATCACCCCTTCACCCTTCACTCATATCTATGCACACGTAGCTTGACACTTGATCACCTATCACCCCTTCACCCTTCACTCATATCTATGCACACGTAGCTTGACACTTGATCACCTATCACCCCTTCACCCTTCACTCATATCTATGCACACGTAGCTTGACACTTGATCACCTATCACCCCTTCACCCTTCACTCATATCTATGCACACGTAGCTTGACACTTGATCACCTATCACCCCTTCACCCTTCACTCATATCTATGCACACGTAGCTTGACACTTGATCACCTATCACCCCTTCACCCTTCACTCATATCTATGCACACGTAGCTTGACACTTGATCACCTATCACCCCTTCACCCTTCACTCATATCTATGCACACGTAGCTTGACACTTGATCACCTATCACCCCTTCACCCTTCACTCATATCTATGCACACGTAGCTTGACACTTGATCACCTATCACCCCTTCACCCTTCACTCATATCTATGCACACGTAGCTTGACACTTGATCACCTATCACCCCTTCACCCTTCACTCATATCTATGCACACGTAGCTTGACACTTGATCACCTATCACCCCTTCACCCTTCACTCATATCTATGCACACGTAGCTTGACACTTGATCACCTATCACCCCTTCACCCTTCACTCATATCTATGCACACGTAGCTTGACACTTGATCACCTATCACCCCTTCACCCTTCACTCATATCTATGCACACGTAGCTTGACACTTGATCACCTATCACCCCTTCACCCTTCACTCATATCTATGCACACGTAGCTTGACACTTGATCACCTATCACCCCTTCACCCTTCACTCATATCTATGCACACGTAGCTTGACACTTGATCACCTATCACCCCTTCACCCTTCACTCATATCTATGCACACGTAGCTTGACACTTGATCACCTATCACCCCTTCACCCTTCACTCATATCTATGCACACGTAGCTTGACACTTGATCACCTATCACCCCTTCACCCTTCACTCATATCTATGCACACGTAGCTTGACACTTGATCACCTATCACCCCTTCACCCTTCACTCATATCTATGCACACGTAGCTTGACACTTGATCACCTATCACCCCTTCACCCTTCACTCATATCTATGCACACGTAGCTTGACACTTGATCACCTATCACCCCTTCACCCTTCACTCATATCTATGCACACGTAGCTTGACACTTGATCACCTATCACCCCTTCACCCTTCACTCATATCTATGCACACGTAGCTTGACACTTGATCACCTATCACCCCTTCACCCTTCACTCATATCTATGCACACGTAGCTTGACACTTGATCACCTATCACCCCTTCACCCTTCACTCATATCTATGCACACGTAGCTTGACACTTGATCACCTATCACCCCTTCACCCTTCACTCATATCTATGCACACGTAGCTTGACACTTGATCACCTATCACCCCTTCACCCTTCACTCATATCTATGCACACGTAGCTTGACACTTGATCACCTATCACCCCTTCACCCTTCACTCATATCTATGCACACGTAGCTTGACACTTGATCACCTATCACCCCTTCACCCTTCACTCATATCTATGCACTCGTTCCTCTTCATGCCTCGCCTCCCAGGCTCTGCTGCTGTACCCTTCCTCTGCTGTTTGTAAAGCAAGCCCAACACACACACTAAAAAACAGTTTGCGAAGAGCTGCTGCTGCCATGCAAAGACCATGGCTCCTGTTTCGGGGCTCAATTGGCCTCGATTGGCCTCGATTGGCCTCGCCTCCCGCGTGGAGTGAGGTGTATTTTGAGGCGCCTCAAAATGCTGCCACGCAAAGACCAGGGCTCCTGTTGGGGGCTCGATTGGCCTCGCCTCCCAGGCTCTGCTGCTGTACCCTTCCTCTGCTGTTGGGGTGCACGTGAAAACGCTCCTCGCACCCACCCTGCCACCCTATCAACCAACTCCCCAACTCCCCAACCCCCCAACCCCTCAGGACGTGTCAGTGCAGCCAGCGCGGTCGTTCCTCTTCATGCCTCACTTGCCAGACTCCTATGCTGTGTGGATGGGCCCTCTGCACACCCGCCAGCAGATCAAGGTATGTCAGCAAATCTTTTCTTGAGTCGAATTGTAAATATTCCTCTTCATGCCTCACCTGCCTGACTCCTATGCTGTGTGGATGGGCCCTCTGCACACCCAGCAGATAAAGGGTATGTGTTTCTTTTTCTGGCCGTTGATTGGGTTTGCTGTCCTTCAGAAACCTTACATTCGCACCTTTGTGTGCTTTCACTCGTCAGCTGTTCTGTCTGCTTCTTCTGGATGCCATCTTGTAGGCGTGTGCTTCATTGTGTGGTGGCACGCGAAGTCCATTCGTCGATGCGCCTCAGAAACATGCTTCATTGTGTGGTGGCACGCGAAGTCCATTCTTCGATGCGCCTCAGAAACATGCTTCATTGTGTGGTGGCACGCGAAGTCCATTCTTCGATGCGCCTCAGAAACATGCTTCATTATGTGGTGTCAGGCTAAGTTCGGCTTCTTCAATTTGTCTGTGCCGTCTGCTGTGTCTTTCTTGAGCAGGACAAGTATGGAGTGGACGAGGTGCATTATATCGAGGACATGGCAGCAGTGCTGAAAGCAGCAGCAGGGAGTGGAGGCAGCCTGCCGACTCTCTTCCTCCTGAAGGGGATCAACACAGACAGCGGCAACTCCTGCAAGCCAGCACAGTATGATGTAAGTTGTGCACAGGATTTAATCTAATGGTATATGCTTTGAGAGGGCGCATGCTCTGAGTTGCAAACGAGCATTTTATGCATAAGTGTTGCATGCCTAGGCCAGCCACTGCCATGTGGTCTAATTTCAGCATCTTCCCCCTTCTTGCCAGTCTACTCCCCCCACGTGTTTGAAGTAGTGTTTTGAGACGTCTCAAAACACTACTTCAAACACGTTGCTGTACTCTCCCCACCAGGGCATAGACGCGTTCCCCCATGACCTGGCTGTGTTACACCCAGAACTGAGCGAATGCCGTGTGATCAAACCCCAGGAGGAGATTTGTGTGATGCGATATGCTTCTCCAATGATTCTCCTCTCCTCTCCTCCCATGTGTGTCACCACCCACCAGGGCGTAGACGCGTTTCCCCAGGACCTGAAGGTGTTACACCCAGAACTGAGTGAGTGCCGGGTGATCAAATCTCAGGAGGAGATTCGAGTGATGCGCTACGCTGCTGCTGTATCGTCTGACGCTCATGTGGAGGTGGGTGGAAGGGGGAGTGGCTTGGGGGGGGATACAGGTGGTTACAGCCACAGGGAGATTCGCATGAGGTCTGCTGCTGGGTTTATTAGTGTGATTGCATTGCAATATGCTGCTCACGCTGGTGCGTCTTCAGGACTCAGTAATCTATCCATTTCAATTCAGATGATGCAGCCAGTGCCTTCCTGCAGGATGGAATATGGGATAGAATTGGGTCATGCATCATGCGGTGCAGAGTGGTTCAATTGCTGGAACGTGACAGAGCGCCTTGTAAGTTCATGTGAACATGGGAAACCATTCTAATCGCACTTGCCCTTGCTAAAGGGAATCCGCCTCCATCTCATACTATAAGACATCTCATACTATAAGAAGTAAGTGCAGCCAGGAATGATGAGTATGAGATGGAGGCGGAATCCCTTTACCATGCAAGTGAACATGAAAGACCCGTCCCATTGCTCCCTATGCCATGATGCTCTTTCAGGTGACGCAGCGAGTCAAGCCGGGGATGATGGAGTGTGAGATGGGAGGCGGATGACGCAACTTTATTATTTTTTACTATGGACTAGTCCTTTCACTGCACACTGTCCCTTCAGGTGATGCGAAGAGTGCGGGCAGGGATGATGGAGTATGAGATGGGAGGCGGATTCTCTTCCCCACGCAAGTGAACATGAACGCCCTGTTTTATTTCACCCTGCTTGCTCTTTCAGGTCATGAGAAGAGTGCGGGCAGGGATGATGGAGTATGAGATGGAGGCTGATTTCCTGCACCATGCGGCCGTGGCTGGGGGATGCCGTTTAGCCGGGTACACATGCATATGCGGCACGGGTCCCAACTGCAGCATTCTGCACTATGGCCATGCGGGCACTCCCAACGATAGGGTGAGCATGGATGTTGCATGGCATGGCTGGGTACACATGCGTGTGCGGCACGGGTCCCAACAGCATCATCCTGCACTATGGCCATGTGGATGCTCACAACGACCGGGTGAGGATTTCGCCGATGCCCAATAATTCTAAGGTAGGCCTGACTGTGGCTGTTAAGAGCGTTCATTTCCTTAGGGTAATGCATTTCGCTTTCGCTCTATGATCATGCGGGTGCTCCTTTTGACAGGGTGAGAACGGCAGGGTCCAGCAGTTGTCCCTGGGCAACTTTTGAGTCGAATCAAAAGTCACCTCGTTACAATGGCACACGACATCTTTTGAGTCGACTCAAGAGAACAGCAGGGTCCAGCAGTTGTCCCTGGGCAAACATAACAAAATTCTTGCGTTCCTGCTCTGTCCCCTTGCGCCATGCAGGAGTGTAAGGATGGGGACATGGCTCTTCTAGACATGGGAGCTGAATACTTCACATACGGTGCCGACATCACCTGCTCCTTCCCCGTATGGCCCACACATGCCTTCCCATGCCATGCCATGCTGAATTGACTCGCTGTCATGCCTTTCCGTGCTGTCATTCCATTATCAACCCGCTCATGACACATGACAGTGAAGGAGGGCATGTGTGGGGTCATTCCCGCACATGCCCTCCCACTGGCAATTCTATTACGCTCTCATCCTGCTTTGTGTGACAGTGTGAGGCACATCGAAAGCTTTGCGACATGTTTTGTGTGACATTGTGGCATTGTGGCATTTAGCCCATCCCCCATTGTCACACTCTTGCATTTTAATCATTGTGGCATTTAGCCCATCCCCCATTGTCACACTCTTGCATTTTAATCATTGTGGCATTTAGCCCATCCCCCATTGTCACACTCTTGCATTTTAATCATTGTGGCATTGCTAGATACACTACAACCCATTGTAGCTTCTCTGTTGCTTGCTTCTCGCTGCTCTTATCCACATGTGCATTTTGCCATCATGATTCCTTCCCATACCATGCCATGGCATGGCAGGTCAATGGAACATTCACTGCTGATCAACGCCTGGTGTATGAGGTGGGATAAATGCAACCACACTTCACCCCTCTTGACCTTTCACTTTCTCTTTTTGTCCTTTCGCTTCCGGTTGCCCCTTGTTCTTCTTAACCTTTTTTCATCTATTGTTTGGATCTTACAGGAACCTTCTTTTCATAATCCCAACAATATGTCCCTCAACCTCCCATAGCCATCTGCGTCTCGTCCCCTTCTATACACTATCCATGGATCCCAACAACCCAGTGCATTGTATTTTCAGAACTCTCAACTTCTTTCACAAAATCCTCCTCTGTCCCCGCTGTTTCTACTTTTCCCAACTGACCTTCTTATAGCTCCTTATTAGTCCCATAGTCACTACCACCTGCCCCTCCCTCACCCCTTCCCCTCTCGTCTCCTGCACTCCTTTACCCTATACAGGCTGTGTTGGCAGCACAGAGGGCAGTGTTTGGAGCAATGAAGCCCGGAGTCAGCTGGGTGGACATGCACAGGCGAGTTCAAGGGTTTTTTTTGTCTTAAAAATGCGAGATGTTGTTGTGAAGGTGGAAATGTCAACTTTCTCGCAGCCCATACACACAGACAGGCGAGTTACATGGCCCGAGCTGACTTTTGAGTTGACTCAAAAGTCTACACACAGACAGGCGAGTTACATGGCCCGAGAACAGGTAGGCTTTGGCTAACATATTTTTTTTGTGGCAGAAGCTTGGCTATATTGATTTCATTATGCGAAGTTTGAGTCGACTCGAAAATCGCCTCATCACACAAGAAGTCTCCAACGATTTTCCATTGTTTTGCACAGAATCTTGTGTGCAGCCTACAAGGGGTCGTTACAATGTTCCATTCAGTTTTCTCCGCCTCTCTGTTTCTCTCTTTCTTTCCGCAACCCCCCTTTTTTAAAACATCCTCTTGTCTTTTTCCTCACTCTCTTCCCTCCTCACATTCCTCCTCTCTTTGGTCCAATCCTTCTTGGCTCCTTCCTTCCCTCCCCTCCTTCCCCCTTCCGTCCCTCCTTTTCCTCCCTGCCTCCCTCCCTCCCTCCTTCCCTCCCTCACAATTACCAGGCTAGCAGAGCGAACGATTCTGGAGCACCTGAAGAGCGGGGGATTGCTGCAGGGGTGAGTATGACGGCAGTGGGAGAGGTGGCACAAGGTTGGGAGAGGTGGCACAAGTTTGGGGGAGGTGTCACAAGGTTGGGGGAGGTGTCACAAGGTTGGGAGAGGTGGCACAAGGTTGGGTGCAGAAACTTGGGTGCAGAATCTTGGGTGCAGAATCTTGGGTGCAGAATCTTGGGGTGCAGAATCTTGGGTGCAGAATCTTGGGTGCAGAATCTTGGGTGCAGCCTACAAGGGGTCGTTACAATGGAGGATATTATGGCACCTTAAAGCCCTGTTCATGCCGCATGGTCGCAGCTTCTGTTCTGATTCGCCTCAGACTTTGATGCGCCTAAAAAAACAAAACCCTTCTACCGGACCACCCCTTCACAGCTCTGTGCAGGTCTATTGACGACATGATGGCACAGCTCCTGGGAGCCCTGTTCATGCCGCATGGTGTGTCTAGGCCCTGGCTTATGAGGCGCCTCTCAAACAAAACCCTTCCACCGCACTACCCATTCACAGCTCTGTGGATGACATGATGTCACAGGGGCAAATTACACCGCACTACCCATGATGTCTCTACCCATTGCACTGCACCGCATTACACCGCACCACACCATCCCCGCACAGGTCTTTGGATGACATGATGACACAGCACCTGGGAGCCCTGTTCATGCCGCATGGTTTGGGGCACTTCCTGGGCATCGACACACATGATGTTGGTGGCTACAACAATGTAAGGGCTCCGTACTACTAGCACAGTGTGCATGATTTATGGGCATCAATGTGCGTGTGTAACATGCATCCCACGGTCATGCCACGTTGTCATTGCACTTCCTTGGCATCGACTCACATGATGTTGGCGGGTACAACAATGTAGGGGCTCCACTCATTCTTGTGTGCCACAGCTGTAAACTGATACCTCTTGGATGCACCCAAATAAGCTGCAATAGCTACGAAAGTATATATCTCACCTATCCTGCTCCACCCAAACCCACCCCACCCCTCTCTCCCCCACCCTGCTCCACCACCCTGTTCCCTTGCATCCCGCTCCGTTCCTGCTCGCTTTTTTCCCTCTCTCTTCCCGTGTTAAACAACTGGCAGGCAGAGAGGTCCAATGAGCCAGGGGCCAAGTCTCTTCGCACCACACGGACCTTGGAACCTGGCATGGTACGGCATGGCTGGGCATGGTTGGTATGGTTGGCACGGTTGGGTATGGTTGGGTTGGGCATGGTTGGTATGGTTGGCACGGTTGGGTATGGTTGGGTTGGGCATGGTTGGTATGGTTGGCACGGTTGGGTATGGTTGGGTTGGGCATGGTTGGTATGGTTGGCACGGTTGGGTATGGTTGGGTTGGGCATGGTTGGTATGGTTGGCACGGTTGGGTATGGTTGGGTTGGGCATGGTTGGTATGGTTGGCACGGTTGGGTATGGTTGGGTTGGGCATGGTTGGTATGGTTGGCACGGTTGGGTATGGTTGGGTTGGGCATGGTTGGTATGGTTGGCACGGTTGGGTATGGTTGGGTTGGGCATGGTTGGTATGGTTGGCACGGTTGGGTATGGTTGGGTTGGGCATGGTTGGTATGGTTGGCACGGTTGGGTATGGTTGGGTTGGGCATGGTTGGTATGGTTGGCACGGTTGGGTATGGTTGGGTTGGGCATGGTTGGTATGGTTGGCACGGTTGGGTATGGTTGGGTTGGGCATGGTTGGTATGGTTGGCACGGTTGGGTATGGTTGGGTTGGGCATGGTTGGTATGGTTGGCACGGTTGGGTATGGTTGGGTTGGGCATGGTTGGTATGTATGGTTGGCACGGTTGGGTATGGTTGGGTTGGGCATGGTATGGCCACAGCCCTTGCTGACCCGCCTGTTGAATGGGAAGAAAGGAATGACTTACTTAGGCTTCCTTTCTCCCTAGTAATTCCTTCCTTTCTTCCTTCTATCTATCGCTCTCCTCCTCACCCTCACCAAGTCTGCTTGAATCCGATCTTGCTGACCTGCCCATATCTGGCTGCCATGCTTCCCCTCTCAATCCCTCCTTCCCAACAACTCCCTGTTCTCTCTCTTCTCATCAGGTTGTCACAATCACGCCAGTCTGCTATTTCATTGGCGCTCTGTTGGACGCAGCCCTTTGGCTCCCACTCTCCCCTTGTCAAGCCCTGCTCTCCAACATCTTCCCTCTCTGTCTCTCTACCCTCACCAGGTCATCAAAGTCGAGCCAGGCTGCGACTTCATCGACTCTCTCTTGGGTTCCGCACTTGCTGATCCAGCTGTAGCCTGCTTCCTTTTCCCTGATCCCCCCTTTCCATCCCTCTCTCTCCTTCACCCTCACCAGGTCATCACAGTCGAGCCAGGCTGTTACTTCATCGACTCTCTCTTGGATCCAGCCCTCGCTGATCCAGCTGTAGCCCGCTTCCTTGTGCCTGAGAGACTTGCTCAGTTCCGAGGCTTCGGCGGTGTGAGACTGGAAGATGACGTGGTGAGTGGGGGTGATGTGCGGTAATCACTGTGTTTTGAGAATAGTGCAGGTTTGAGGCTTTGACTGAAAGCAACCTCCCTGTCTGCATGTTTCGAATAGGAGCCTCAAACCAAACAGTCAATCAGCCAAACAGCCAAGCCTGCCTCTCACATCCTCACTTGTCTGCCTTTCTTTCCCACCTGCCCATCTCAGGTGGTTACAACAGAGGGCATCGAGAATCTGACCAAGTGCCCTCGTGATGTGGCTGAGGTGGAAGCAGTCATGGCAGGCAAGCCGTGGCCCTCTGCTCTGGACGTGTTCCAGTAATGATTCTTCCTTGCCCAATTTGGATATGGTAACAACAGAGGGATTTACCGTAACAGCTTGACCAGGTGCCCTCGTGATGTGGCTGAGGTGGAGGCAGTCATGGCAGGCAAGCCGTGACATTCTGCTCTTGCTGCACTTAAGTGATGAATTAGCCTTGCACTGCAGCAAATCAGGCTATTTTTTAGTCGACTCAAAAATAGGCCTTGCACTGCAGCAAATCAGGACAAGTCGTTACCTGACCAAGTGCCCTCAAAAGTGATGTGGTTTAGGTGGAAGCAGTTATGGCGGGGAAGCCTTGGCCTTGTGCTCTCACTGCATTCCAGTGACATTACTGGCTTGCACTGGCAGGCAAGCAATGTACGGCAGTAGGCGAAAGCTACGTATTGATCCTGTGTCATCGCGTGTCAAAACTACTTTGGTGTTCTCAAAAGTATACACTGCTCACCTCATGCTAATGTGGAAATAGCAACAGCGCACAAGCTGGCTCAGGTTTATATCACATCACTCTAATGGATGAAGGGCTTGCTTGCTAGGAAGAAAATCTAATGGAGTTCACCAAAAGCTGGCCCAAAGACCGCATTTTGGAGTGGATTTTTGCAGTTGCATGGAATGGAAATCCAGAATGGTACTGTACACCTACATGGTATTGTTGTAGCACCAAACGATTCAAGGTTCTCCTCATTAGCCATCAGCTACCATATCTGCTATCCAAGGTAAGTGCGTACCGGTATCTCCAGTACTGTAAATCCTAGAGTCCTCCTACCTATCCTAAAGACAGGCAAAGAGACTACGGTATCCTACTGGTACTTATGAGTTCAGGAAACCAACTGTATTTTTCTATATATGGTCTTCAAAGACCTTTTGAACGGAGAGCATCAGGATGTTAGGCAGCTTTCAATGGCTCTTCTGATGCCAACTAGCACTGGAAGAGGGGGCTTGAGGTGCTGTGGGAGAGATGGAGGGACGAGGGCAGACACAAACACATGAGGGCAAAGGCGAGCAGAGGAGAGAAAAAGGAGGAGCAGGGAGAAAATGTGAACAACAATAATGCAAACGGGGGCATCAGCACCTGTGCGAGCATCAGCATCAGCACCGGCACCCACCAAAAACGAAAGCTGGGGTTAGTCCGGGTCTGCTGCTGCTAAAAAACACTAGCAGCAGTATACACAATCCCAGCAGCCTCATCTCACCTTCCAGTCAAATATGCATATCATCCTTACCCGGAAGACAGGCAGAGGTTGGTCAGAGTCAGCAAGGAGCAGCACGAGGGCGAAGTGGCAGCTGGTGGGAGTGACGATCTCCATTATGACAGCTGCAGCTATGGTATTCTAAAGCACCGGCTGCTGATGTTTGGGCTGACAAAAAAAAAGGAACCCTTACCCTGAAGACTGGCAGAGGCTGGTCAGAGTCAGCAAGAAGCAGCACGAGAGCGAAGTGGCAGCTGGTGGGAGTGACGATCTCAGTGATCACCGTCGCAGCTATGGTGTCTAGCGGTACCATTCAGTGTACCTCACATGTACTAATCTCTTACCCGAAACACGGGAAGAGGTTGGTCAGAGTCAGCGAGGAGCAGCACGAGGGCGAAGTGACAGCTGGTGGGAGTGACGATCTCAGTGATCACCGCCGCAGCTATGGTGTCTAGCGGCACCAGCTGCCGATGCACCACCCGTGGTTGACTGTTCGCCATTGCACTGCTGCTGACATTGTTGCTGCCGGTGCTGCTGCTGCTGTGATTAGAGGAGTTGGATGCAGTGAACCTTTTTTGCTGCGTGGTGGCGACCTGTGCCACCTCTATCTGCACTCCCAGGCCTTCCACAATCATCACCGTCACTGGCGAAGACAGCGGCAAAGAAAGGGATTAAGAGGAGAGGGAAAAGAGAAGCTTTTGAGTTGACTCCAAACACGATCACCACCGTCACCGCATGCAGGCACAGCTGGGAGAGAAGAAGTTAAGGGGCGGTGGGACGGTTCGGGGTGGGGAGAGGGGGAAGGGGAGGGGTGTTTGGGAAAATGCGGAAGGAGAGAACAGGGGAAACAGGCGAAGCTGGCGAAAGGAGATGAGATGAGGTGTGAGGTAAGGCAGCCGGCAGTAGAAGCCACTGGAGCGTCGACTCCAAACGGCCACCAGTGAACCTAATGAAGAGAGCAGAGAGAGCAGCAGTGAGTACGGGCAGGGAGCAAGGACAGGGAGCAGTTGCAGGGCAACCTTCTAGGCAGCGTGCGGCAGTCTGTATTTACTGGGAGAGGCGTGGCATCACCTTGATGCTTGACGCCTAGCGAAAAGAGTCGGTGCACAACGAGTCTGAGCACGAGTGCTGCTTTTGACAAACCCACGGGTTTTAAGGCGTCTCAAGACCTTTGAGACTCTCAGGGGTCGTGGCTTCACCTTGGTGCTTGACGCCTAGCGAAAAGAGCCGGCGCACGGCGAGTCTGAGCACGAGAGCTGATATTAGAACTCCCAGGGCTGTTCGCACTGCCATGGATGGTTGCTGAGACACCCCACACATAACAGGAGGCGGAGAGGGTTGGGGTGGGAGGGGGAGAAGGAGATACGAGGAAGGAGGAGGGTTGAGAAAAGACAAGTGATGGCAAATGATGTTACTCGTGACCCTTGTACATAATCGCACATGATTTTTAGGTTGCTGATGATGCAAAAAGCTAATAAGAAGGGTCGAGGGATCACAACGTTTGATGCTGGAAGAGAAGAGTTGCTTACTGAGGATGATAAAGCGACGGCGAGACCGACAATGATTACAGCTACCACTGGCTTCGATAAGATATCGAGTGACCATCTGCTTCCGTTTCGCCTGCAGCTGTTGCTGCTGCTGCTGCTGCTGCTACTACTCCTGTTGCCGCCGTCGTTATCGACACTACGACTTGCAAGGACGTCGTTATGCGTATCGTTATTCGTTCGCGACGCAGCGATAGACGCGGCGGTAGACGCGGCGGAAGCGGGAGGGAGAGATGAGACGGTGTGCCACTGACAGGAGCCTGAAGGGTCCCTCTCGACCTCGTACACCCATTTGCCGTGAACCTCCGTGCGACCCATGTCAGGCTGGTTCACAGGCTGATAACTGGGCTGTTTGTTAGGGTAATTTACAGGCTGATAACTGGGCTGTTTGTTAGGGTAATTTACAGGCTGATAACTGGGCTGTTTGTTAGGGTAATTTACAGGCTGATTGTCAGTGACAGTCAGGCATGGTTTACGGCAGTCGCTGGATGATCAGCTTGGTTAAAACTATTCGGTTTGCGTTAATATCTACCGAGCAGCTTAATTTCCAACACGCAGCGGCTCGGTTTCAAATATGATCGTCGCTCGCCATCACCTGTTATTTATCTCATTGCGCTGGTGGCTGAGGTGGGGACTTCTGCGACACAATGGCTGGTCAGGAAATGCAACAAGAGAATGGAGGGAGGGACGGAGTTCAAAAGGGTAACTTACCCTGAAGTACAGTGCAGTACCAAGCAGTATAGAAAACACTCTAACAGAGCAGAATGTAGTGTGCCTACCCGAATTGATTCCTCGTCAAACTCCAAGATGACTTTCGAGGTGTAGCTGATGAGAATAAAATGATTTCAAGTGAATCGTCCCTTCAGAGAATCACTAATGAACAGGACAACCTCTAGGGCCCACATCTGTTGCGGCAACGCGTGGCCCGAACTGATCGCGATGCTACGTTCCAGGAGCCTCGGATACTGTCAAACGGGTTGTCATAGCTTAATGCGCGCGCCTTTGTCACGACAGGATTAATCTATGGGACGACCCCAGGGAGAATGAACCTAGTGAATGGACAAGATAGCCATTCCCGTAAGGCCTGCTTACGTGACCTAGTGACGTAGAGCGTAATGCTTAGGGCGAGCTTATGTCTGCCATGAAATGTAGGGTTCAAGCCAGTTCAGACGTAGTGGCGTACTGTACGTCATACGCGATATAAGGCCTGAGCAACCGCTAATCTTTCGCGAGTTTCGCATGGCGTCGCACAGTGGCTCCTCGAGCTCCCCGTCGCTAGCTGGGGACTCGTCGCAGGCGTCGTCACGGCCGTCGCTACAACCGTCGGAACAGCCCCGTTCGCGAAGGATTGGCGACCTTGCGACGGAGGGCGACGTTCGCAGCCGCGTGAAGTGGCTGAATCCGGAGGCGTACGGCGCGGGCGAGATGGTCGTCGTCCGTCGCAGCACGGACGAATGGCGATACGCCGAAGTCGTTAGCGTCGCACAGGACGGCGTGCAACTGCGCGTCGGTCCCGGATTAACTAAAGACGTCGCGACGCGGCTCCTAGGAACGCACGTCGGGAAGCTTCCAGGCAGCAGCAGCGTCTTCGGCGTCATCCCCGTTACAGGAACGCGAGGAAGGGTCTCGTTATCATTATCTTCACGTTCTTTTGGCATAAACAGTGCGAGCAATGAACCAGCAGCATTAGCAGTGGTAGAAGCAGCAGGAGCAGCAGCCGCAGGAACAGGCGCAGGAGCAGCAGCCGCAGGAGCAGGAGCAGGAGCAGGAGCAGCAGCGGGAGATTCATCGGCATCACCAATGCCAGCAGGAGCAGCAGCGGGAGATTCATCGGCATCACCAATGCCAGCAGGAGCAGCAGGAGCATCAGAAGCAGCAAGAGCCGTTGCTTCGTCTGAGGATGCAGCATCGGCAGCAGCAGTAATTGCGGAGTGGAGACGATCCGCTCAGCAGGGTCCTGTCAGTAACGCCGCTGCCACCGCTGCCACCGCTGCCAGCACCACTGTTGCCACAACTACCGCCACTGTCGCCACCATCACAGGTGCAACTGCTGCATCGGCTGCAACGGCTGCAACAGCTGCAAGTGCGGCTGCTGCCAACCCTGCTGCTGCAGTCACCACTACATCCTCGCGTGCTGGCGCCGCTGTCAGCGCTGCTGCCAGGGCCAATGCTATTGCAACCTCAGCCACGCATACCGGGATTGCTGCTTCTGTTACCGCTGCTACGGCGACCGTAGCTCACAGAGCTGCTACCCCAGCTTCCTCTGATTCCTCTGCTGCCTCTGCTGTCCCTGCTGGCTCTGCTCCCTCGTCAGCCTCGGCTCCACTGCCAGCAATACCAGGACCATTCGCCGAGCCTGCCTATGATGCAACCCGAACGTCTTTGCATGCCCGAGCGTCCCCCCAAACCCAAACGCCCTCGCACTCCCCAAGGTCTCCTCGTGGTTCAATCCAGCCCACCCACCAACCTTCCTCCCAGCAACCCGCCTTGCAACAACCGTCCTTGCAACAGCACACCCTGCAGCACCCAAATACCTCCTCCCAAACCTCCACCCAACCCTCCTCCCAGACCTTCCCCCGAACCTCCTCCGAGCCCACCTCCCGAGCCTCCGACCAAGCCTCTCCCAAGCCTGCTCCGTGCAACGAAGGCAAGGCTCTGCTGCCATGGCAAACTGAGGACTGCCCTATATGCCTGGAAGCCATGGTTAGAGGCAGGGCGTTATACGCCCCAGAGTGCGGCCACTTGTGCCATTTCGACTGCATTCGCGAAAACGTTCGCCACGGGAATTTGTGCTGCCCGCTCTGCCGCTTCCCTCTCCAGGAACGCCCCACGTCGATCTTTTCCCTGCCCGAAACGATGGGGTTTCCGCGAGTGGGTAGTCCCAGGGTTGGGGAGAGAAGGGGGGGATTGTTTGGGTTGGGGGAAGATGTGGGCGCGCTGGGAGGGGGAGGGGGGAGGGGGCGGGAAGGGGGAGGCGGGGAAGGGGGAGGGGGAGGAGGGTTGGCGCAGGGGGGAGTGTGGGGGCACCAGAGGCGGGATTTGCAGCGAGCGAGGAATCACATTGCGGAGCAGAGGGCTGTGGCGCTGCAACTGGTGAGCTGCAGCTCTTAGTTGTCCTTCTGCTGCTGCTGCCACCGCCGCCGCTGCCGCCGCTGCTCGTGCTGCTGCTGATGATCATTTTGAATTCCCAGCAACCGAGGATTTTGCTGCGTCACCTTTCTGCCACCCACCTTCTCTATCATCCACCCATCCCTACCCAACCCCCACCTCCCACCCCCTCCCCCCTCCATATGTATCAGATGGCGGCAGCAGAGGAGCGCATCGCACTGGTCAGAGCAGCACACGCGGAGGTTCATTCTCACGTGCGCTTAGCGCAGCAGCTTGTACAGAGGATATCCGATAGGCGGTGAGTTGCCTCTGCATGTAACAGTAGCAAAGCACAATCCGAGCCATTACCAGCCCTCCAATCCTCTTATCCAAACTAGCCACCCCCCCCACACCCCCCGTGCTTCTCCCCTTAACATCTCTCTCCCTTGCTGCCCTCGCTGTTCCATCCACAGGCAGCGAGCTCTAGGAGACAACCTTCGCTACTCGCTCTCCCCGCCCCTCTCCTCCTCAACCCCTCCACCTCCTCCCATCTCCCTCCCCTCCCTCTCCCTCTCAACCTCCTCCATCACCACAACTCCTATCCCCCCCTCTTCCTCCTCCCTCCCCTCCTCGTCCTCGTCCCTCTCCTCGTATTCCTCCTCCTCCCCAGCTCTCCGCCGCTCTCTGGCCCTTGCAATGGCCGCTGCTGCAGTAGACGATTCTTACACCTCCCTGCCATCTCGCCCCATTCGTTCGTCAGTTCCCTCCCGCCCGTCCTTGGCCTCTCTCTCTCCCCTCTCGACTCTCTACCCCCATCGTTACCACCCAACCAACCCACTTTCCTCTACAGCTAACCCTCTCTCTGCATCTCTCCATCTCTCCGCTTCTGCCCCCCTCTCTGCTTCGCTAAATCCTTCTACCACAATCCGTCCCCCCGCCTCCACCACTCGTTCTTCCATGTCTGGTCCTGTTCCCCTCCTTGCACACTCCACCCTCTCCTCCTCCTCCTCCTCCTCCTCCTCCTCCTCCTCCTCCTCCTCCTCCTCCTCCTCCTCCTCCTCCTCCTCCTCCTCCTCCTCCTCCTCCTCCACCCTACTCTCTCTGCCTCTCCCTCCACTCTCTCGCACTCTTCACACACTCACTGCTGCTCCAGCTGCTGTTGCTGCTCCTCGTCCTCTCCCTCCTGCTGCGTCAGCCTCTACTCCTATTACTGCTACCTCGTCACCTATCCCTGCTGCTTCGTCACCCATCCCCGTCAGTGAAACCACCGCTCCCGCTGCTACCACCACTTCTGCTACGCTCTCTCCTCCCTCTTCCTCCCTCCCCTCCTCTTCCACTGCCCACTCTTCTCTTCCCGCTTCTGCCGTCGCCCCTTTGTCGCGTCCGTTCCGCTTCTCTGGCTGTTTCTCTTCCCGTTCTTCTCTGCTTGACCAGCCGCCATCCCCCTCTCGCAACAGCTCAAGTTCAACTACCACTCATGGTGCTGCCAGTGCAGCAGCCCATGCAAGGATAAGCATTGCAGGCAGCAGCAGCAGTAGGCCGAATGCTGCTACCAGTGCAGAAACTTATTCAAGAATCAGCATTGCAGACAGCAGCAGGAGCAATAGGCCCAATGCTGTTACCAGTGCAGCAGCCGCTGCTAGCACGGACGTCACAGGCAGAAGCAATGTTGGGAATGCTGTTGGGAGCAGCGCAGGAGGCAGCACAGGGCACGGGAGTGGGGGTAGCAGCAGTGCGGGTATCAGAGCTGTTGCTGTGGGTGATGGTGGAGTGGGTGGTGGTGGTGTAGGTGGTGGTGGTGGTGTGGGTGGTGGTGGTGTGGGTGGTGGTGGTGGTGTGGGTGGTGGTGGAGTGAGTGGTGGTGGTGTGGCTGATGGCGGTGCTACCACTGGCAGCAAGGGTACTGGTGGGGAAGGCTGCAGTAGCACTGCTGGGAGCAGCAATGGCAGCGGTGGTGATAACGGTGGTGGCAGCGGCAGCAGTGGCAGAGTGAGGCAGAGAGGTCAGTATCCTTGGCAGGTAGAGAGGATTCTTGAGAGAAACAGACTGATGCGCCTGAAGCAGCAGCAGCAGCAGCAACACCAGGGGGAGGAGGAGGAGGAAGAGCAGGGAGGGGGGCAGCAGGAGGAGCAGATGCAGCAGGAGTTGCAGGTAGGGCAGCAACAGCACGAAGGACAGCAGAAGCGGCAGCATCAGGCGAGATTGGAATATGATAGAGGCAGAGAGGAAGGGTCAGAGGGCTCAGATCAAAGGGACGAGTACGTGACAGGTGACAGCAGCGGATTGGCTGACGACCTGCAGGTGGACCTGCTGCCAGCGGGAGCATCTTCTGGGGGAGGTACATCTGGCTGGGCGGCCAGGGGGAGGGCGCAACTGAGCAGAACCCAGAGGGATGGAACGAGCGGAATCACAAGGGGAGGGCGAAGGGGGGATGTGGAGAGGAGGGAGAGAGGGGAGGATAGGGTAATGCAGAGGGGGAGGGGGTTCAGGAGAGCGAAGAGTGAGGATGGGGAGAGAGGGAATGGGGAACAGGAGGGCAGGCAGAGAGGCGTGAGGGAGAGATTGGAGCAGAGGATAGAACAGAGGTTGGAAGAGAGGTTAAATGCGGTGAGAATGGGAGAGGGGGATTTTAGCAATGGTGTTGTTGCTGGGAGTAGCGATACCAGTAGTTCAAGTGACAGGAGAAGGAGTGTGAGCAGTAATGTTGGGGGCAGCAGCTGCAATGTTGGGAGGAGGGAAAGGAGGGCGATTTATGAGAGGAGGCTTGGGAGAGTGGAAGCAGAGTATGGGAACCAAGGCTTAGGGGATGAGAGTCAGGTTGTGGAATTGCAGGAGGAGCGGGAGGAGCAAGGGAAGCAGGAGGAAGAGGAGGGGTGGCAGCAGCAGCAGCAGCAGCAGCAGCAGGAGGGGGAGGAGGAGCAGCAGCTGCTGCTGCAGCTTGAGGAGCAAATGCACATGCAAGAGGAGCTGCAGAGTCAGGTAGAGGAGGAGGAATTACAGGAGCATGATCTGTTACGGTTACGAGAGCAGCATCAGCTGCATGAACAGTTACAAGTGCAGGAAGAGTTACAAGTGCAGGAGCAGCTTCAGTTGCATGAGCAGTTACAACTCGGGTTACAGGAGCAGTTACAACTCGGGTTACAGGAGCAGTTACAGATTCAGATGGGGACGGGATTACAACCGGAGCAGCAAGAGCAGTTACAGGAGGCAGGGTCTTTACAGGGTGGTTATGAAGAGGAATTGGAGCAAGGGTTACTATGTGACGAGGAGTTACAACTTCCAGACGAGTTACAGTTACAACTGCAGGACGAGTTACAGTTACAGCAGCAGCTGGAGCAGAGAGAAATGGAGGCGATACATGTGCAATTCGAAGAGGGGACGCAGCAAGAGGTACGGTTTCATGAGCAGTTACAACTTGAGGAGGAGTTACAGTTGCAGCAGCAGTTGGAGGAGGAACAGTTGTTGCAGCAGCAGTTGCAGGAGGGGCAGCAGTTACTTCTGCTGCAGCAGCAGCAGCAACAGCAGGAGGAGGAGGCTGCGCAACAGCACTTGCAAGAAGGACAACACCTGTTGCTGCACCTACAGCAGGAACAGCAACAGCAGGAGGAGGAGGAGGAGGCTGCACAACAGCACTTGCAAGCGGGGCAACACCTGTTGCTGCACCTGCAGCAGCAGCAGCAGGAGGAGGAGGATGCAGAGGAGCGATTGCAGGAAGAACTGCAAGAGCAGCTTCAGCTGCTGCAGCAGCATCAGCTACAGCAGGAGCAAGAGCAGCAGCAGGAGGAGGAGCAGGAGCAGCAAGGGTGGCACGCAGATGAGGCACAGAGGCAAGCACAAGCAAATGCAGAAGCAGAGGCACGGGGGGTCAATGACCAGTACGCACACACTGGCAGTGGCAACAGCAACAGCGGGAACAGAGGCAGACTGGGTTTGGGGAGAGAAGCAGCAGCGGCAGGAACAGAAGCAGCAGCAGCAGGAGGAGGAGGAGGGATAGTGGGCCAAAGAGCACAGGGAGACGCAATGGGACCAGAGGGGAGCCTAGGGTTACAGGCTTCTCTGGGTAGAAGGGACTTGAGGGATCAGAGGGAGCAGAGGGGTGTTCCTAGGCTTGGCAACAGGAGAGGCTCAGCGCCGAGGCTGCTAGGCGTGTACAGGAGGCACGGGAGGGAGGACCGGCATCGCCTAGAGGAGCTAACAGAGAATCTGGAGGATGGGGAGAGTACACTCTCTGGTATCACTATTGATGTTCCTCCTGGCGGAGATGACTATAACGAAGGGGACTACAGTGCTGAGAATGTCAATGGTAGTAGCAACAGCAGCAGTATGGGGTATCCTGGTGCATGGTTACCAGGCCAGATTCTCCCGAATCAAATCCGTGGGGAGCAGAGGTCGTTTGATTCGCCCCATGCGGTGCGTATGAGAAGGGCCGGCAGTATAGGCAGCCAGAGCAGCAACCACAGCAGCACCCACAGCAGCACCCACAGCATCAGCCACAGCATTCACAGCAGCGGCAACAGGAGCAGCAGAAGCAGCAGCAGGCGAGGTGGGCCCAGTAGAACCTCCCCTCGAATCGTACCTGCTTCAGAAGGGCCCCGATACAACCTTCACCATGCGAATCTCCCCCAGTTCAACCTCCCCCTCTCCCACAGCGAGGGCTCAGGCCCCTCGTTGAATCTCAGGGGTGCCGAGGGGTACCAAGGGGTACCAGCCTATTTGAATGGTTTTGGTATGGTGGAGATGGATAGTGGGCTGGTGGGTGCCATGGGTGGTGCTATGGGTAGTGCCATGGGTGGTGGTGCTATGGGTAGGGAGATGGATGGGGACATGGATGGGGATGGGGTGGTGGAACTAGGCTCAGGGCCAATGGGTTATGGAGCAGGTTTGAGACGTTTCCAGTCGGGATTCGAAGGAATGGAGGGGTTTGGTTCAGCAGGGGTGGAGATGCGTGGGTTGGGAGCGGTGGTGAGCGGTGTGGCGGGGCGGGTGGAGGAGGAGGAGGTGGAGGCGGAATTATTGGCTATGGAGGCAGCGGTTGAGTTCAATGTGAGGGTGGTGACGTGTCAGGGGTCCCCTGTGCGCTGGCACAACTGCCACGTGTGCGTGCGGCCCAATGCGGTGCTGCTGGATGCAGCTGGGTGCATTGTGGTGGATGGGAGGGAGCTTCGCGCACGAGATGGCTCCCCGGTGAGGCCTGGTGCTGCTCGCGTTTGCTTGCATGTGCACATAGTGCTGGTTGCACCCTGGTTAGGCCTGGTTGAGGAGCCGCAAAAACATGGCACTCCGGTTAGGCCTGGTTGAGGAGCCGCAAAAACATGGCACTCCGGTTAGGCCTGGTGTTGCTTGCATATGCGCCTAGTGCTGGTTGCGCCCTGTCTCTGCACCTTCCATCTGCATTCGTGCCTGGAACGTGTCAGTTAGTGCATTGTTCTTTATCCTTTTCCCCCTGCCCATCCTCCTATACATGTCCCCACCCACCTTCTCTTTGGTTGCAAGCAGCTTGTGTTGGAGGAGCAAGGCGAGTCTCTCATCCATGCCCTCATCGACTTCTCTCCCCCGCTACTGCACCTCTCCTTCATCCACGCCTTTCTCGACCTTGACCCGCGCGCCGTGGTGCTGCAAGAGACGGCTGTGGTCCCTCATGCCACTTCCCATCCCTTTCCCACTTCCCTTGTCCACGCACAGGTGGTGTTGGAGGAGCAAGGCGAGTCACTTATCCACGCACTCATCGACTTCTCTCCCCCGCTACTGCACCTCTCCTTCATCCACGCCTTTCTTGACCTTGACCCGCGCGCCGTGGTGCTGCAAGAGACGGCCGTGAGGGTGAACCGATGGCTGGGTGACCGCCAGAACCAGCATGAGGTCATTGCACGCTTCCTCACTTGTGACTAAATGATTGGCTTTGAAGTGTGAACATTACTCGTCACTGCGTCAGCACTGCAGGCTGTGGTGCTGCAAGAAGAAACGGTTGTCTGTCAGAGTGAACCGATGGCTGAATGACTGCCAGAACCAGAACCAGCACGAGGTCATTGCAAGGTTCCTCACTTGTGATCGCCGATTGTGATTATGAGACAGGCTTTGAAGTGTTAGTGTTACGGTGGTACTCGTCACTGGAAGAAGTATGGTACCGCAGGCTGTGGTGCTGCAAGTGTTAGAATCCTAGGCAAAAATTGTGTCGACTATCGAGAGAGTTGGTACAAAGTAGAAACCTAAGGGGTTGTACCCCACAGTGAGTACCCCACTAAGCCTACCCAAACTATAACATATATATACATATGTTTGACACACCCCCATAGGCAAAGTGGGGGGAACAGAGGGTCACAAGACCAGTCAGGAAGTGCAAAGCAAGCTCAGGGTGGATCACAACGTCACCACGCAGTCTAAGCACAAGCAAGGAGGCCACAAGGCCAGTTCACATGCAGAAATATATATGTAACAACAACAGTACAGTGATATCTACCTACAAGAACAAGCATGCAGGAATACATATAAATCATGGTACAAACAAAGCCTACAGCAAATGAGGAAGCGTGGGCACAAGGCCTAACAAAGTGCAGAAACGCTGATGATCACCAGGCGGAAGCGCCTTGGTGAATATATCAGCAGTGTTGGCCCGAGTGGCCACGTAGGTAAGACGAAGCTGGCCACGCTGCTGCAGCTCTCGAGCAAGAAAGTAACGGAGAGCGATGTGCTTTGTTCTGTGCTCCAGTCTGTGCTCCTGACACAAGGCAATGGCGGCCTTGTTGTCGACGTACAGAACTGGAGGAGAACGAGGCCGCTCTCCCAAGTCGGTCAGCAGGTAGGTGAGCCAGCGCAGCTCCTGTGCAGCCATGGCTGTGGCGTAGATCTCTGCCTCACAGCTGGAGCCGAGAACTGAAGACGAACGTGTAGAACGCCAGGAAACTGAACCAGAACCAAGGCTGAAGGTGTAACCCTGTGACGACCGCTGTGTAGCCTGGTCGTCAACCCAAGAGGCGTCCGAGTGACCTGTGAGGACAACGTCACCCCGTCCTCCAAGCACGAGCCCCATGCCCGATGTACTGCACAAGTAGCGTAGTACCCTCTTGGCAGCATCCATGTGCACCTTTCGGTGCCGACCAGGAGCCACGTAGCAAGCCAGAAGGCCAAGAGGGTACGCAAGGTCAGGACGAGTGCAAGTCATCAGGTACATGAGGCAGCCCACTAACTCTGGGTAAGGACCACTCGACTCTACGGACTCGTCCGAAGGTGGAGCTGAGAGCGAGTGACCTGTAGCCAGAGGAGTGGCCTGTGCTGAGGACCAGGTGAAACCGAAGCGCTGAAGGACCTGCTGCACCATGTGTGACTGAGTCAGTGTGATGGTGCGGCGTGCTCTGTCTCGGGTGATCTGCAAGCCAAGGTAGCTGCGCAGTTCACCCAGGTCTGTGCACGTGTGTCTTTTCTGCAGCTCCGACTTCACCAGGGCGAGAGCCTCAGTGCCAGCAGTGGCAAAGATCAAGTCGTCGACGTACATGAGAACGTAGAACGGCGGCAGCGAAGTGTCGGTGCGCATAAACAGCGACGGGTCAGCAGTCGACGGAGAAAACCCAAGAGCCGCAAGTGTCGTCCTCAGTGTGTCGTGCCACTCACGTGGCGCCTGGCGGAGACCGTAGACCGGCCGCCGGAGGCTCCACTGGGTACCAGGAGGGAACGACCCAGTGAAGCCAGGAGGGCGGCGCAGCCAGATCTCCTCGTGCAGGCTGCCCTGTAAGAAAGCTGTGCTGAAGTCGAGTGAAGCTCGTAGTCACGCAAAGCGGCGACATGCAGCAGCACCCAAAGAGTGGTCATCTTCGGGGTAGGGGAGAAGGTCTGGAAGAAGTCAACTCCCTGTCGCTGACTAAAGCCTAGTGCCCGTGCGCGCCTCGGCTATTCGCGCGCGCCTCGGGCGGTCCTTTTTTATTTTCCCACGTGCGCCGCTTCAGCAGCCCGCGTAGCCCGTTTCGGCCCTGCCTGTGCGCCCCTTAAGCCGTCCGCGTGCAATCTGGTTAGGCCACGCCAGCGCGGCCCGTCGCCCAGCGTAGCCCGCAGCTTAGCGACCAGCCCGCAGCCGCGCACGTGCGGCCCGTCGCCCAGCGCAGCCCGCAGCCGCACGTAGATTGCAGCCGCGCACGCTGCCTGTCGCCACGCACAGCCCGCAGCTGCAAGCAGCCCGCAGCCCGCGCAGCCCGTCGCCGCACGCAGCCTGCGGCCGTGCGCGTTGCCCGTAGCCACGCGCAGCCTGCAGCCTCGTCCAGCAAGCCGCCACACGCAGCCAGCAGCCTCACGCAGCCCTCAGGCCGCTCCTGCCTGCTGCCTGCTGCCGCCTGCCTGCTGCTTGCTGCCTGCTGCCGCCTGCCTGCTTGCTGCCTGCTGCCGCCTGCCTGCCGCCTGCCTGCCTGCCTGCTTGCTGCCTGCTGTCGCCTGCCTGCAGCCTGCCTGCTGCCTGCCTGCTGCCTGCCTACTGCTTGCTGCCTGCCTGCTTGCTGCCTGCTGCCGCCTGCCTGCTGCCTGCCTGCTGCCTGCCTGCTGCTTGCTGCCTGCTGCCGCCTGCCTGCTTGCTGCCTGCTGCCGCCTGCCTGCCGCCTGCCCGCTTGCCTGCTTGCTGCCTGCTGCCGCCTGCCTGCAGCCTGCCTGCTGCCTGCCTGCTGCCTGCCTGCTGCTTGCTGCCTACTGCAGCCTGCCTGCTTGCTGCCTGCTGCCGCCTGCCTGCAGCCTGCCTGCTGCCTGCTTGCTGCTTGCTGCCTGCTGCCGCCTGCCTGCTTGCTGCCTGCTGCCGCCTGCCTGCCGCCTGCCTGCTTGCTGCCTGCTGCCGCCTGCCTGCAGCCTGCCTGCTGCCTGCCTGCTGCTTGCTGCCTGCTGCCGCCTGCCTGCTTGCTGCCTGCTGCCGCCTGCCTGCCGCCTGCCTGCTGCCTGCCTGCTGCCGCCTGTCTGCTGCTTGCTGCCCCTGCCTCCTGCCTCTGCCTCCTGCCTCTGCCTTCTGCCTCTGCCTCCTGCCTCCTACCTGGTGCCTGCTGCCTCTGCCTGTTGCCTCCTGCCTTAAGCCAATATGGCGACGCCTAACGTTCTAGCGTTCGAGCCTGACGGTCGTCCCATCGAGTTCACTGTGTGGTTAGACGATCTCCAGCTGTTCCTTCTGACTGATGCCAAAGATGGCGTTTCCCTGTTTGATTACGTCTCTGGCACTGCCGTTACTCCTGCTGCTGATGCTCCTGCTCTATAACGCTCCCAGTGGCAGACTCGTGATGCTGCTGCACGCCTAGCTATTAGGAACCACCTGCCGATTACTGAGCGAGCGCATTTCAGCCAGCACAGAACTGCTAAGACACTGTACGACGCTGTAGTTGCGCGCTACTCCTCCCCGGCCACTGCAGCCATAGGTCGACTCATGCTACCGTACTTGTTCCCCGATCTTTCCTCGTTCACCACTGCTGAGGACCTAGTTTCTCACCTGCGCGCTACTGACTCTCGCTTTCGTGCCGCCCTTTCAGCCGAGTTCTCCACCGCAAACCCCCCCTCGATGTACTTCACTCTCTATTTCCTCGTCACCCGCCTCCCTGACACTCTTAGCTCTGTCAGGGACCACTTCATAGCGCTAGACCCCACCACTCTCACTGTCGACGACTTCGAGAAGCATCTCCTCGCAGCAGAGAAGAACATCCTCGCTGTAGGTGCTGCTCGTGGCACTCCTCGCTCTCCCCTCTTTGAGGGGTGCTCCCCCTCTCCTCTCACCCCCTCCTACGCCTCCGCAGCTGCTGCTCACGACTACCTTGGTGCTGAGGGGGTCGGAGCTGCTTCCGCTCCTAGTGGGAAGCGTCGCAGCGGCAGGGGCGGCAGGGGTGGCAGGGGCGGTGGGGGTGGCGGTGGAGGTGGCGGTGGTGCAGGCGGCGGGGGAGGTGGAGGTGGTGGGGGTGTTCGTGGGGGTGGAGGCGGTGGAGGTGGTGGTGGGGGCGGCGGAGGCACTGGGAGCGGTGGAGGGGGCAGCAGCGGTGGTGGGGGAGGAGGGAGCGGTAGTGGCATTGGTGGTCAGGGCCAGCAGCAGCCGCAGCAGCAGCAGCAGCAGCAGCAGCAGCATCAGCGTCAGCGCCAGACCCCCACTTCCCAGCAACTTCTTGACTGGTATGCTGGGCGTGGGGCTTCTGGGGGTCCTGGTCGCTGCCCCTATATCATCCGCACAGGTCCCCGCGCTGGTCGCCAGTGCACAGGTTTTCACACTGAGCAGCGCTGCTTCGCTCGGCTTAGCGACGCCTGGCGCGCCAAGTTTTCTGATGCTCCTGAGTTCCCCAACTGGGCAGACTTGCTTAGGCTTGATGTACCTATCTTTGATCTTGACTATGAGGCAATTCTTGCTGCTATGTATGCCTTGTCTGTTAGTGCTGAGGGTGACTGCTACTTGTGTGTGCCGCCGGATCCTGGTATAGCCCCTGGTATAGCCCCTGCAGCACTAGGTGCTTGTGAGTCTGCTCCCCTTGGTACTGCGCGTGCACAGGCTTTACACACCTTTACACTTGACTCTGGTGCTTCCCGCTGTTTCTTTCGCGACAGTACCACAGTCACTCCCCTCCCTGCACCTGTTCCTGTCACACTGGCTAACCCCTCTGGGGATTTAAGATATACTCTAAGTTGTCGTCGATCCTCGTCCCAGTCAGCACCGCGGGCTGTGGTGCTGCAAGAATCGGTCGTGGGGTCATTACTATGTTGTGTTGTGTGTGATCGACAACATATCGTGTGTGATCGACAACAAATCGTGTGTGCTCGACAACATATTGTGTGTGCTCGACAACATATCTTGTGTGATCGACAACATATCGTGTGTGATCGACATCATATCGTGTGTGATCGACAACATATCGTGTGTGCTTGACAACATATCGTGTGTGCTCGACAACATATCGTATGTGCTGGCACAAGGTGATACCATGCCGAGTGTTGCTGCAGGAACAGCTCTGATCAGGATAGGGAATGGCAGTTCATTCGGTTCACCTGCATGACATGAGCCCTCAACCTAAAGCACAATCATCGACAACTGCTGAAATAGATACCAGGACAGGTCACAGCAGTGGTTACAACTGTACAAATGTGAACCACACCATTGGGTTGGGTCTGCATAGTCATCACCAATTACACCCCATGAGTAAGGCTCATCCCTTATGTGTCTCGCTCGTATGCTCGAACCTCCAGTTCAGTCAAGGACGGCCGGACCACCATCAGTGCAGCATCAAAATGCTCCTGGGAAACGCATGGGGGAGAGGTATTAGATGCAACAACTGCTGCTGCTGCTGCTCCGTGTGCTTCTGTTTCTGCTTCTGCTTCTGCTTTTGCTTCCCCCTGTGCTGTATCCTCTGCTGTTGTTTCACTCCCTCCCTCCCCATTTCCAAGAACCTTCCCTCTCAGCGCTGCCAAGGCGGCCTCCCTGCACAGCGCTGCCACGTCAGCGCCGGTGAACAGCGCCGTGCGGGTGGCGACAGCTGGCAGGCTGATGTCAGCGGCGAGGCGCATGGCGGCTGTGCAGATCTGCAGTGCGTGCAGCCTGCCTGGTTCGTCCAATGGTGGCACGTAAATTATCTGAGGGAAAAATGAAGATGGCAGGGTGGGGATACAGGACAAAAGAGCAGCTGTGTGCATTTAAGGAAGCGGGAGTTTGTGTGAGTCTGCAATACGTGTAACCTCCCTGCTTCATCCAGCAGTGGCACGTAGATGATCTGCTGGGGAGGGTGGAATGGGTTTTACTTTCTTTCATTCTAATCAGAAGAATTGTTCAGAGAGAAGGGGATAAGTGGATCTGAAGGGAAGGAGGAAGGAGGTGGGGAAAATGGGAAGTGGTGAGCTAGAGCAGGCAGTGACTGTGTGGGCGGGGTAGGGTCACTCACCGAGTCGAACCTCCCTGGGCGAATGATTGCAGGATCCAGGGCTTGGAAGCGGTTGGTTGCTGCTATCACCAGCACTGAGGACGAGGAGGAGGAGGAGGAGGAGGACGAGGAGGGAGCGGATGCGTCATTTGACTTCCCTTGGCTTGTGCTCCCTGTGCTGCTCATGCTGCTACTTTCTGTGCCGCTGCTAGTGCGGCTCGTAGTGCTTGAATGTGTGATGGGAGCAGTGAGTGACTGAAGACCGTCCATTTCAGTCAGCAGCGCCGCCAGCAGCCTCTCCCCCACGCTGCCCCCGCCTCTCCCTCCCCCTCCCCCTCCCCCTCCCCCTCCACTGCCTGAGCTTTCTGCATCGGACCTGTTGGGAGTTGAAGTGGGAGGGGGGGCAGGTGCAGACGGGGAGGCAAACCTGATTTGGAGCACCCAATTGGTGGGATTGGACCAACCGGGTTGGTCAGGAGGCGTCTGGGAATTGTCCGGGTCGAAGCGAAAATCATTGCGTACCAATCATCCATTTGGACTCCACTGCACCACATCACGCTGCACTGCACGGCACTGAACCGGTCTGAACCGCTCTACACGGCACTGCACTCACCTTCGTCCCCCCACCCCATCACGTCGACCTCATCCACAAACACGACGCTGGGAGCCGCCATGCGAGCCACCATGCGAGCCAATCGCCTACTGCAGGGCACCAGCCACACTAGACCATTGACACTATGCACATAGCGCCCATACAATAACACCACGTCTCACGTCACCACACTGCACCGCACTGTACTGCTCTACACACCTGCGCCCCCCCACCACGTCGACCTCTTCCACAAACACCACGCTGGGAGCCGCCATGCGAGCCAATCTGAGCGTGAATTGACAGGGTCAAATATCCTTGCCTATCAATCAACCTGGAGACTGTACCGCTTCACGCTGCTCTGCACCACCCTGAAACGCTTTGCAGCGCACTGTAACACTCACCTGCGTCCCCCCACCACATCCACCTCGTCCACAAACACGACGCTGGGAGCCGCCATGCGAGCCAATCGGAACGTGTCTTTCAGCATTGCCTCCCCCTCGCCCACATACATGGAGAACAGATCCGCACCACTGCAACAGAAAGGGGATGGGTGCGAGAGGAAGCATGGATGGACCATGGGGTGTCAACACAGGCGTGTGTTTCAGCATCGCCTCTCCCTCGCCCACATACTTTGTAGAGCAGGTCTGCAGCGCTGCTTGTAAGAAAGCAGGAAGGAAAGGGGACAAAAGACAAGGAAGTACAGCAGAGACGAGAGGCGAGGAGAGGAGAAGAGAGAACAGGGAAGGGAAGAAGAGGAGAGAGAGGAGAAGAGAGCGGACCTGAGAGAGAAGAGCATGGCTTTGGAAGTGTGCGCAGCAGCGAGGGCGAACAGGGTCTTGACCCCCCAGGAGGGAGGTGAGAGCGAATCGTTTAGTGGACTCAAAGGGAAGAAGAGCCGAGGAGGGGAGAAGAGAGCGGAGCCGAGAGAGAAGAGTGTGGCTCTGGAGGCATGGGATGGGAAGCAGCAACGGCGAGCAGGGTCCTGGTTCATGCCTTTTTCCTAGCCCTACGAAGCAACCCACCCACTACACTTAGCTGACAATCTTAACGCCGACCACACGGCTTGCTGCAGTTCGAATCCTTCTTTACTCTGGAAGACAGCGGAGCCGAGAGAGAAGAGCGTGGCCCTGGAGGCATGGGAAGCAGCAACGGCGAGGAGGTTGTTGCTGCCCCCAGGAGGGTCTTGCTGCGACCACACGGCTTGCTGCGACCACACGGCTTGCTGCGACCACACGGCTTGCTGCGACCACACGGCTTGCTGCGACCACACGGCTTGCTGCGACCACACGGCTTGCTGCGACCACACGGCTTGCTGCGACCACACGGCTTGCTGCGACCACACGGCTTGCTGCGACCACACGGCTTGCTGCGACCACACGGCTTGCTGCGACCACACGGCTTGCTGCGACCACACGGCTTGCTGCGACCACACGGCTTGCTGCGACCACACGGCTTGCTGCGACCACACGGCTTGCTGCGACCACACGGCTTGCTGCGACCACACGGCTTGCTGCGACCACACGGCTTGCTGCGACCACACGGCTTGCTGCGACCACACGGCTTGCTGCGACCACACGGCTTGCTGCGACCACATGGCTTGCTGCGACCACACGGCTTGCTGCGACCACACGGCTTGCTGCGACCACACGGCTTGCTGTGACCACACGGCTTGCTGCGACCACACGGCTTGCTGCGACCACACGGCTTGCTGCGGTTCGAATCCTTCTTTACTCTGGAAGACAGCGGAGCCGAGAGAGAAGAGCGTGGCCCTGGAGGCATGGGAAGCAGCAACGGCGAGTAGGGTCTAGCTGCCCCCAGGAGGGTCTTGCTGCCCCCAGGAGGGTCTTGCTGCCCCCAGGAGGGTCTTGCTGCCCCCAGGAGGGCCGTGCAGCATTCGGGGTGGGCTCTGAGAGCGAGGAGGATCCGTGAGTGGACTCAAAGGGAAGAGGAGAGAGGAGAAGAGAGCGCACCTGAGGGAGAAGAGCGTTGCCTGGGAGGCATGGGAAGCAGCGAGGGCGAGCTAGGGAATTTTTACTCTTTTTCTTACTTGCTAAAGCGTTTCACTAGCACTGCTGCCCTTCCACCATGAGTGACAGCGAGGGCGAGTAGGGTCTTGCCGTCCCCGGGCGGGGCGTGCAGCAGTTTTCTTCGTCGTCCCCGGGCGGGGCGTGCAGCAGTTTGCTTCGTTGTCCTAAGATACAGTTTAAGTTGATGGACATAAGACCTCCGCAGCCCACCTGTTTAACACTGACAGTCCCCGGGCGGGGCGTGCAGCAGCACACCCCTGGGAGGGGTGAGAGCTTAACTCGGTTCAAAAGGAAGACAGAAGCGCACCTGAGAGAGAAGAGAGTTGCCTTGGAAGCATGGGCAGCAGCAAGAGCGAGTAGGGTCTTCCCGCCCCCAGGGGGGCCGTGCAGCAGCACACCCCTGGGAGGGGTGAGAGCGAGGCGCTGGAAGGCTTCAGGATGCTGCAGCGGCCACTCGACCGCCATCTGTAGTCGTTTCTGTGCGGTTGGTAGGGGTTGAGAGAGGTTGAGAGGGGTTGAAAAGAGGTGGCCCGTGCAGCAGCACGCCTCTGGGGGGGTTGAGAGCGAGGGGCAGGAAGGCTGCTGGGTGCTGTAAGGGCCACTCCACCGCCATCTGGAGACGTTTCTGTGCGGTTCATAGGGGTTGAGAGGGGTTCGGACGATGGGGGTATAGGGGGCATTGGGGGCATAGGGGGGTGATTGGGGGAGTTGGGAAAGGGAGAAAATTGGAACAGAAAGAAAGGAGCAACTTAACTGAAGGAGAGAGCAGCTCATCCCCTAAACCTCACTCTACTTTGCACTGGCCCTTCATATCCCTCCTCAACTTAAAGCCTACGCAGGCAGCTTGAAAGCCACCCCCCCCTCTCAACAAGAGCGGCTCACCAACGCGGCAAGTGAAAGAGGGTCCACCCCCTGTGTCTTTCCCATTCAACCTTCCTCCCTCCCCATTTCTCTCACCTTGACACCCTCCAGGCCCCCGATGTCGCGCCACGTGACGGCACATACAACAGTTCCCCCTCCCTGGTTTTTGAGAATTCTCAAATCCCCACTCCCACCACCTCTCACCTTGACACCCTCCAGCCCCCCGATGTCGCTCCACGTGACGGCACGCAGTTCAGCCGCCACTCTGTGAGTCACAGAGGGGCCCACCCGAGAGAGCGCATGTGAAAGAAGCTCACCTAACCCCCAACACCTCCCCCGTCCTCTCTCACCTTGACACCCTCCAACCCTCCGATGTTGCTCCACGTGACGGCAGGCAGCTCAGCCGCCACTCCCCGGGTCACAGATGGCCCCACACTAGAGAGCGTAGCTGTCTGCGGCACATACAACAGTTCCCCCTTAACATACTCACCTTCCACACCCCACTTTCTTCCAGTTTCCCCTTAACATACTCACCTTCCATACCCCACTTTCTTCCAGTTTCCCCTTAACATACTCACCTTCCACACCCCACTTTCTTCCAGTTTCTAATGTCGCTACCCCACCCTACCTCTCCCCACTACTCACCTTGACGCCCTCTAACCCTCCGATGTCCCTCCAGGTGACGGCAGGCCGTTCAGCCGCCACGCTGCAAGTCACCGAGGGGCCACACGAGAGAGCGCATGTGAAAGAAGCTCGACCCCCCCTTCCTCCCGCCCACCTCTCACCTTGACACCCTCCAGCCCTCCAATGTCGTTCCACGTGACGGCAGGCAGCTCAGCCGCCACGCCTCGAGTCACAGAGGGGCCCACACGAGAGAGAGCCGCCTCAAAGTGCTTCATGCACACCAGTCCCTGCTGACTGGCCTGTGAGGTCTTTAACTTGCTGCGTGCTGTGTTGGAAGTGTCAGAAGCGGTAGCAGTACTTCTCTTTGCTTGATATGCGTTGCTGCCAATACTGCTGGTCATGCAACTGTTGCTGCTGCCACCGCTGCTGCTTTCCTGTGTAAGGCCGCTGCTGCTGCTGCTGCTGCTGCCGTCCAGCCTCTCCGCACCTCCACCCTCCCTTCTCTCCCCCCTCTCTCTCTCCCACACCTCTGTTCGATTCTCTCCCATCGCCTCTTTTTCACCAGACTCCTCTTCCCCAGAAACCGCCTGAACCTTCCCAGCAGCCATCTCCATCATGACAGCAGCAAGAGCACCTTCCCTTTCCCCACAAACCCCCTCCCCGCCCTCAGCCACTATCCCCACTCCCCCAGAAAACGCCTCCCCTCCCCTCTCGTCCTCCCCAGCAGCCATCTCCATGACAGCAGCAAGAGCCGCCTCGCGGCATACCGCTGCCAGGTCAGCACCCACGTAGCCCTTGCAGCGTGCCGCCAACTGGCACATGTCCACGTCAGCATGCAGGGGCAGGGAGCGTGCGTGCAGCTGGGGGAAAGCAGGGAGGGAGGAGGGGAGGGAGGAGGGGGGGGAGGAGGGGAGGGAGAAGGGGAGGGATGAGGGGAGGGAGGAGGGGAGGGAGAAGGAGAGGAAGGAGGGGAGGGAGGGGGGAGACCGAGAAGTCAAGTGAGAAGAAGCAGGTTGGCTGTGAGATCGCTTAGAGGACTCTCAAGGGAGACGGGGAGAGAGCAACGAGAATAAGGCTGTATTTCCCTTCTAGCCAAAATGTTGCAGAGAAGATCGTACGGTTCAAATCCCCCTTTTGAGGCGCCTCAAAATGTTGCAGAGAAGATCGTTCGGTTCAAATCCCCCTTTTGAGGCGCCTCAAAATGTTGCAGAGAAGATCGTTCGGTTCAAATCCCCCTTTCCTTCCCAATTCATGACTGTGTGACGTGTCTCGCCTTGGGAATCCCTTCTTCTCTCATTCACGCATTTCATCCCCACAGCTCACCTTAAGAATCGCCTCTCTCGTGCAGAGAGGATGTTTTTGAGACGTCTCAAACACAACCTTGGAAATCCCTTCTTCACTCATTCACGCGGTTCATCCCCACACCACACCACACCACACCACACCACACCACACCACACCACACCACACCACACCACACCACACCACACCACACCACACCTCACCTTAAGAATCGCCTCTCTCTCCCTCGTGCCCGGCACATTAATTGCAATCTCGCGGTCGAATCTCCCCGGCCGGCGCAGCGCGGCATCTAGTGCGTTGGGGCTGCCAGTGGGAGGGAGAAGGATTCGGGTGAGGAGAGTGGATTGGGAAGGAAAGAAGAATGGTCAAGAAGCCCCAGAATGAAACTAGGCGTGCAAAATCAGTCGTGTTTTGAGTCGACTCAAAACGCGACTCATTTCATTGGGAAGGAAGGGAGAATGGTCAAGGAAGTTGCAGTGGGAAGAGATGGGAAATGGCTGCTTTTACCGGTTGGTGGCAGCGATGACAACAAGTGGTCGAGATGGGTGGGAAGTGGTGGAACCGGAGGAGGAGGAGGGGAGTGAGGAAGTGGATATGCCGTCCATGAGAGTGAGAAGCTGAGACACTATTCTTGTCTCGTTCTGCCGCCTGCGCGCGCGCACACACACACACACACACACACATTTGGGTTGTTTCCTGGAGAACAACCCAGGAGAGCCTAAGAAGTGAAATTTTCACAAGCCAAGCCAAGACTACATGGGCACACCCTTTCTACAGCGGGGTGAGCGTACCAATACAATATGCCTTAACAGCAAGCTCGTTACAATATAAGCCCTACAGGCTACACCCCTTGTGTGTATTTGAGCTACCTGGAGTCTCTCTTGGGGCACAGCACGTCAATCTCGTCGACGAAAACAATGGAGGGCCGCAAATCCGCCCCTACCTCCAAACCACCTCCCACACCTCCCTCTCTAACTACCTTGTAAGCCACCTACCTGGAGTCTCTCTTTGGGCACAATCGGGCTGAACATCTGCGAACTCCTCCGAACCACCTCCCACACCTCCCTCTCTAACTACCTTGTAAGCCACCTAACTGGAGTCTCTCTTTGGGCACAGCACGTCAATCTCGTCAATGAACACAATCGAGCTGAACATCTGCGAACTCCTCCGAACCACCTCCCACACCTCCCTCTCTAACTACCTTGTAAGCCACCTAACTGGAGTCTCTCTTTGGGCACAGCACGTCAATCTCGTCAATGAACACAATCGAGCTGAACATCTGCGAACTCCTTCGAACCACCTCCCACACCTCCCTCTCTAACTACCTTGTAAGCCACCTAACTGGAGTCTCTCTTTGTCAATCTCGTCAATGAGCACAATCGGGCTGAACATCTGCGAACTCCTCCGAACCACCTCCCACACCTCCATTGTGCGGTGAGCTACCTACCTGGAGTCTCTCTTGGGGCACAGCACATCAATCTCGTCGATGAACACAATAGATGGCCGCTCATCTGGCCCTCCCTGTTAACCCCCCTTTTGAAGCAAACCTGTGAGAGGTGACTTTGAGTCGACTCAAAAGTCACCACACACTTCTTGTGAGGAAGCCGGCCACCTACCTGGAGTCTCTCTTGGGGCACAGAACATCGATCTCATCGATAAACACAATGGACGGCCGCAAATCCGCGCCTCCTTCTGCCCCTCCCTCAGTAACTCCCTCTCTAACTCCTACCTCAATTCCTCCCTCCCCATCCTTTCCCCCCCTGGCCGCATCAAAGACATCTCGCAGCCGCCTCTCGCTCTCCCCTGCATATGCTCCGAAGATGGATGACGACCTGCATGCATGGGGTGGTGTGGGATAGAGAGGGTTGGAGAAGGGTCTAGTACTGGGTGCTTTGGAAACCCTATCGCTCTCCCCCGCATATGCTCCGAAGATGGATGACGACCTGCATGCATGCAAAAGAGAGGGTGACGGGCAGCGAGGGTTGGAAAGGGTTGTTACAAGGTGCCTTGAACAACCTATCACTCTCCCCTGCGTATGCTCCAAAGATTGATGACGACCCTGATGCACACAATGCAAGAGTGGCAGGGTGCATTGAAGAGCGTATGGCAGGGTGGTGTGCTCACTCACGTGACAGTGAAGAGCCGTGTGTTGCACTCCCGAGCTATCTCCCTCACCATAAGCGTCTGCCATGCCATGCACACATGGGATGGGATGGGATGGGATGGGATGGGATGATTTAACATGATTTGATGTGTCCAGATGCAACCTGGATTCAAAGTAACAAAGTTACGGTCTCACTTCTCACCCCACAGAAAGAAAAAAGGGGGCTCTCAGTGCCTGTCTCCCTGGCACACACTCTGCCTGTGCCTCACGCCCTCACCTTGCCCGTGCCTGGCGGACCGTACAGCAGCACACCGGAGGGCCACTGCACAGGGAAAGGGAGGGTGTGGAGTGGGGCGGTTTTTGAGACGCCAAAAAAAAAAGGGGAGCGGAACGGGGAGGGGAAGGGGTAAGTGGCAAAGGGGGGAGGGGGGAAGCGGCGAAGAGGGAAGGGGGGAAGGGGGAAGTGGAGGAGAGGGGACAGTGTGGGGTGGGGAGGGGAGGGCGAGTGTGGGGCATGCATGAGAGGGGGTGAGGGAGCCGAAGGTGGAAAGGGGAGAGTGAAGGAGTGAAGGGAGAATGGCGTTCTGCAGACCTGAGGGAATGGAATGAGTTGAGCACAAGGGAATGACCTCAGAGAGGAGAGCTGTTGTGCTGCATATCTCTCGGACCAGGGACCCGGGTTCAGGGTTTTACGCCCCAAGGTTTAAGGTGTAAGGTTCATACTTGCACGCCTTTAGCGGGTGTAGAGTTCACAGTCGCACGCACCTTCAGGCCTAGCGCAGCGGCCTCCTTGGCGTACTTAATCGGCCACACTACCACTTCCCGCAGCGCCTGCATGCTCTCGTCCATCCCCGCCAGCTGCGCCGCATTTCCCGCCGCCTCTCCCGCCGCGCCTTGCCACGTGTCGCCGCCAGCGCAGGCGGCGCCATCGGCAGCAGCAGGCGGAGGAGCGAGCATTGCGAGGCGAAGCTACCCGGGCCTAGGAGCACGGCACGCGACTTCGGACTTGAGGCGACCCGGAAAAAAAACGAAATACAGGGATGAGGAAATACAAGTTGGGTGGGGGGCTTGTCGTGGTTCGAACCCCTCGATTTCTCTACTGCTCCCGAATTCGGCGCGCGTATTCTGAGAAGCAGAAGGCAGGGGACGTGATGCGGGTGAGGCGACGCGACGGCACGATCTGCGCGAGAGGTGGAAATGCGATCTTCAAGATGTTTCAAGAGGGACGCACGGTCGGCGGCTGGTTTATCTCCGCGCGGGTCACTCGACGGGCTTCGTGGAGTCGCCTAAAAAAACAACAATGCGCGTCACTGAATTACTGAGACCTGTTGGGACGGGATGGGAGGTTGCTGGTGGGACTCAGGGAATGGACCATGAACAGGAGAGGCGCGGTTGGTGACAGAACGACAGAATGCACTAAAATGCTGGAGAAGTGGGGTATCGATCCCCATGCCTCTCGCATGCTAAGCGAGCGCTCTACCATCTGAGCTACATCCCCATGCCAGCGGTTATCCGCTTATTATTATTATCTATATATAAAAATTAGTTTGCCCTCCATGTTTCCAAGTATTCGTCATTACCATTCGCCGCTCCGCCTCACATGCGCTTCCGCCTCCCGCTGCGCATGGCGCTGCTTTCCGGCTCCCCCTCCCCCGCCCTCTCCGCGCTCCTCTCCTCCCGCCCCTTTTCCGCCCTCTCCCCCCTTGCTAGCGTCTCTTCCGCCTTCCTCTCCCCCAACCCCATCCCCCTCCCCGCACTCTACGCGCCTTCCGCCCCCCGCGACCTCGATCTCCGACTCCCCGGTCTCCCCGCGCCACCCGCGCTTCCGCCGAAACACTCCCCCCATGCCCCGCATCTTCCGCCGTTCCTTGGGGATCCGTTCCTCGGTTGCGGCAAACCCGAGATCCGAGAAATAGCGGTTCCGGGGATATCCATCCCCGCAAAAGGCTTTCCGCTGCCGCTTTCCGCGCCCGCCCATCCCGCGCTTGCGCCGAAGATATGGGCGGGGGGAGGTCCGCGGACGTTCCCTGGCGGAGTGACCAAATGGCAATGGAAGCGAATGCAGGACAAGAAGCGGCGCGCGCGGGAGCGCGCGCAGCTGATCCGCGAGCAAGAGGCGTTCGAGGCGAAGCGGCGCGAGCAGCTCCGCATCTTGCGCGGCCCGGAGCGCCCCTGGGGGGACGACTCGGACCGCGGATGGGGGAAAGCCCCACGGGAAGGGCGGCTGCCGCCGGCTTTTCCGCAGCGATCCGCGGGGCCCCCGCTTCCGTGGGAAAACCGGCGCGGGGGTGATGATACTGCGCGCCGATGGGGGGAGGAGGGGGGCGGGGAGCTTTGGAAGGGTTTGGGGGAGGAGGGGACAGGGGGGATGATAATTCCTTGGGAGAGGCAAGGGGGGAAGGCGGAAGGGGGAGCGGGTTGGGGGAGCGCGCGGGAGGAGCAACGGGGGGGGAGTGATTGGCGGAACCAGGGGGGCATGGCGGAAGGGTTAGGGGGGGAGCGGGAAGAGGGACCAGTTCGCTGGGAGCGGCTTCCGCAGGTGCCATTGGCGGAGCGGAGGCGGCAGGCTGGGGGGGAGCGCGCGTGGGGGGAAGATCGCGCTAGGGGGGAGCAGCGCGCTTGGGGGGAGGAGCGCCTGAGGGAGGACCAGCGCAATAGGGGGGAGCAGCGGGGGCGCACAGCGCCAGTGGCGGGGGGGGATGTGCGCCCGTGGCAGCGGGAGGGGGAGGGGGAGATGCGCGAGGGGGAGGGGGAGGTGCACCAGTGGCGGAGAGGGGAGGAGGGGGGAATGCGCCAACAGCAGCGGGGGGAGGAGGGGGGGCGCGTGTGGTGGGAGGAGGATACGGAGGCTGGGGCGGAGGGGGGAATGCGCCCACGGGGAAGGGGGGAGAGGGGGAGAGGGCAAGGGGGAACAGCAAGGGGCGGTAGTGATGGGGTTAGAGGGGGAAGGATGAAGCAAGAGGGGGCAATTGAGGGATTGGCAGTGGAACGGGGGGAAGAGGGAGAGGAAGGGGAAGAGGGTTGGATGTGGTGGGAGGAAGGAGGGCTGTATGGGCGAGGGGGAGGGGGAGGAAAGGGGGCAGGAAGGAGGGGAGGCGGAGGGAATGGAGGAGGAGAGGGAAGAGGTGGGATGGGAGGAGACACGATGGGAGCAGGGGGGGCAGGAGGGAGAGGAGGAGGAGAAGGAAAGGCGTCCACTGCAGCGCGCCAAGCCAGGCAGGCACAGCTACCAGCAGCATTTCCCGTGGCAGGGGAAGAGGCAGGACGGGTGGGAGGAGAGGAGAGAACAGGTGCATGGGGAGCAGGCGGAGGAGCACGAGGAGGGGGAGGAGGGAGAGGAGGAAGAGAAGGAAGAGAAATGGCAGGAGGAGGACGGGGAGGGAGAGGAGGAGGAGGGAGAGGCAGGGGAGGAGGGCAGAGGGGAGCGTATGAAGGATCAAGCAGGGGAGGAGGGCAGAGGGGAGCGTATGAAGGATCAAGCAGGGGAGGAGGGAGGGGAGCATCATTGGTGCTGCCAGCAGTACCGGAGGAGGTGATTGGTCGACACGTGAAGCTCAAACACGTGGAGGATCTTTGGAACGAGGATGATGGGCCGCTGGAGAGAGGATCCGGGGCTGCTTATAACGAGTATGGGACTCCTCCTGAAGGTGCTGCTCGTGCTGGTGGCGATGGTAGTGGTGGTGCTGTTGGTGGTGCTGTTGGTGGTGCTGTTGGTGGTTTGAATGCGAGAGGAAGTGGCCAATTGAAGGAGGAGGAGGCAGAGGAGGAGGAGGACAGGAGGGCTGTTTCAAGGATCCCTTGGTTGGCTTTTGCTGGCGATGGTGGGGATGATGGTGACGGTGGTGACGGTGGGTATGGCAGTAAAGATGGTGGCAGTAGCAGCCGCACCACCAGGATCAGCAATGGCAGCAGCAGTGGGAGGGGCGGCAGCAGCAGCGGTGGCAGTGGTGGCAGCAGCAGGGGGCGTGCATGGAGGAGAAGAGATGTGTCGGCATCGGCTGTTGCCACTGGTGTAACCATGCGCGGGAACATGCCCATGCCCATGCCCATGTCCATGCCCATGCCCATGCACATGCACATGTTTTGGCCTCCTGCTACCAGCATTGCTGCTTCTGCTGGCGCTAGCTGCAGGCACTTTATCTCCTCTGCAGTTGCTGCTGCTTCTGCTGTCGGTGCTGCTGATGCTGCTGGTGCTGACTCTGTTTGGGGCAGCAGAGAACACAACGCCAGCATTCCCAAGGGTGACAGCAGTGATGCTGACAACACCGAGCGTGATAATACCGGTGATGGATGTGATAATAACAACAGAAGCAGCTCAGTGGGAGTGGAAGCAGGCAGTTTTGACTCCTTGCCGCTCTCTCAAGCCATGCTTACAGCCATCAGTAGCAGCATGGGCTTTAAGCGCTGCACTCCCTTGCAAGAAGCTACCATGCCGCACATACTGGCAGGTACGCTGGTAACACTGCCATCACCATTGTCATCTGAAGCAGCATGGGCTTTAAGCGCTGCACTCCCTTGCAATCTGGTCTGGTACCATGCCGCACATACTGGCTGGTACGCTGGTTCCACTGCCTTTGCCAATGCGATTTCCGTTCTCGTGTTTGTTGTCCCTCACAAATATGCAACTGTCCCTCTCGACATTACGAACTCCTCCTCTCTTCGGCTTCAGTGTTTCTCCTCCCTTGTGCTCCCCTTCTCTCTCTCTCTCTCTCTCTCTCTCTCTCTCTCTCTCTCTCTCTCTCTCTCTCTCTCTCTCTCACCATGCATTTCTCTGCCTCCCTTCCTCTGCCTCCCTTGTTCTGCCTCCCTTTTGACAGGAGCTGATCTCTTGGTCAAGGCTAGTTCAGGCACAGGGAAGACCATGGCTTATATGGTGAGCCCACACGTGATAGTGAGTCTGTCTGTAGCTTTTAGAGGTGACTCTATTATGCTATAATGAGGTGCCGGCACCCCAGTGGAGGTGTACCAATAGAGTTCCGAGAGGGTTCTTACAGCAGTCTCAGCGAAATCTTACTACCCATATTTTCATCTCTTCAGCCCCCTACAGCAGTCTTCATATGTTGACTTTTGAGTCGACTCAAAAGTCAACTACCCATATTTTCATCTCTTCAGCCCCTCTACTCTCCTGTTCTTCTCCGCACTCCCCTACAGCAGTCTTCATATGTTCTTCTCCGCACTCCCCGACTCATTACACGCGTTTTGAGTCGACTCAAAACTCGACTCATTACACTTTTGAGTTGACTCAAAGCTCGACTCATTACACGTGCCTCCGCACTCCCCTACAGCAGTCTTCTTATGTTCTTCTCCGCACTCCCCTACAGCTTCCCTGTCTTGACAAGCTCGTTTCCAGCCTCTCCGACTTTCCAGCCTCCCCAACCTTCTTCTTGCTGGTGCTGGTACCCCATTGGAGGTGCGGCTTGTGTGCGCTAACAGAGGCCAACAAGGTCCTATTACTGATATCTTTTTATCTCTTTATCGCCTAATTTCCCCTGTTTCTCCCCCTCGCACTGCACTGCAGATCCCCTGCCTTGACAGGCTCCTCTCAAGCAACAGTACCTCTCCCACGCGCCTGCTTGCTGGGGCCGGTACCCCAGTGGAGGTGCTGCTGGTGTGCGCTAACAGAGAGAGGGCTGAGAGGGCTCTGCAGCAGGCTCAGCGTGTGTTCTCCTGTTTCTCCCCCTCGCACTGCCCTGCAGATTCCCTGCCTTGACAGGCTCCTTACAGACTTCTTCGACTCTCCCACTCGGCCGCTTGCTGGTGCTGGCACCCCTGTGGAGGTGCTGGTGGTGTGCGCTAACAGAGGGAGAGCCGAGAGGGCTCTGGGGCAGGCGCAGCAAGTACTGCATCTGCTTCAGGTGTCGCAGACACAGCAGGAAGGAATGAAAGAATTAGGAAGAACGGATTCTTCAAGAGGATTAGGTGACAGGAGGAGAGGAGGAATTAGGGGTAGGCGTGCTGACCGACTGAAGGGCGTGAGGCAGGGAGGGGAGTCGGGAGTTGGGCCACAGGGAGTGGGGCAGCAAGCGGTGGGGGTGCAGATGGTGGTTGGAGGGTTGAGTATGGATGGTGAGGGGAGGCGGTTGCAGCAGGCGCCGTGTCAAGTGCTGGTGGCGACTCCTGCTCGGCTGTTGGAGCACTTGCAGCAGACACAAGGCATGCGGAACCGAGTGCAGCAGCTGAAGGTGAGCAGTAGGAGAGAAGAGGAGGTGAAAGGTGAGAACAGTAGGCACCGTGTGTGCGAGGTGCCAGCGATGGCAACTCCTGGGCGGCTGTTGGAGCACTTGCAGCACACACAAGGCATGCGGAACGTGTAGGTATGGTACCGCATGGAGTGCAGCAGCTGAAGGAATGCAGAGATCAAAGGCGAGTGAAAGCACGTGTAGGTAGGTATGGTAGGGAGAAACTTGGGGTGTGCTTGTGCATGTTGCTGTGGCTGCTGCTGCGCTGCTGTTGGAGCACTTGCAGCAGACACAAGGCATGTGGAACAGAGTGCAGCAGCTGAAGGTATGAAGAGAATAAAGGTGGGTGACAGCTGTGGGTATGGTACCGCATGGTCGATACACGTCATACACACCATCCTCCCGCTCCTCCCACCCATTGTAGATGTGCTCTCAAGCTCACATCACATTACTTCCCGCCTACTGTCGGCCACACACCATGCATCCAGTCCAGGTTTTTGTATAGGGGGACTTGGGCCGCATAATTGACATGGCTGTCAAATCACATGACCTCCTACCTATCCATCTCATATGGTGCTTGCATGTGGTTGTATTGGAGGAGTTGGTGGACATGGGGTGGGGTTCACTCGCAGAGTTTTGAGGCAAAACTCAAAACTCGCAGAGTTTTTAGGGGCGCCTCAAAACTCGCATGGTGGACATGGGGTGGGGTTCACTCGCACCATACACACCATCCTCCCACTCCTCCCACCCATTGTAGATGTGCACTCAAGCTCACATCACATTGCTTCCCACCTACTATCCGCCATCGGCCATGTCTGCAGGTGCTTGTATTCGAGGACCTAGACCGCATGGTGGACATGGGGTTCACTCGCACCATACAGGCCATCGTTACGCTCCTCCCACCCACACGCCAAACACTACTCTTCTCAAACGCTCTCTCCAATGAGGTACCATACCCTACATTCTCCCCTCTGCCTTTCGAAGCTTTTATCCCTACACAACCAACTTTTGCTCTTCTCAAATGCCCTCTCTGATGAGGTACCCTGACCTACATTCACCACATTTTATTTCCCTGCCCGTCCAATATCCCCTGGCTTCTGTTCTTCCAAACTGACAGTGGCAGAAGTTTCCCTGCCCTCTCGTGCACTCGGCTCTGTTTTGTAAGCAGGTGAAGGATGTTTCACAGCTCATGCTCAAGGCTGATTATGGATCTCTTGATGTGGAGAGTGCTTGACTGGGGGAGTACCGGTACCGGTAATAAGCGTCACTGCGAACATCACTCATTGTTGGGTACATTTTTAAACACAGCTTTTGTCATTATTTTTATGGTAAAAAAGCACTGAGTTGGAGTTGCCATCTTAAAGTTGTGGTGTCTGCAGCTCTCATATCGATTGCTTTCTCATGTACCAGGGACCGTTACTTGTGCTCATGCTTTGTTTTTCACATCCCTCAGACAGTCACCCCAAAATTAATATTGTTTCCATTTTGACCTGCCTGCACCAACTACAACTAGTTAACTGGAACCATCTCTCAGTCAGCTTGGCTCGGCTCAGCAGCACAGCTGGTCAAGGGTCACATGCAGCAGAATACATCCCCCCAACCCAGCCAGACCACGCAACCATTCACATTTACCAAACCCGCCATTCTGCCATGCACCTACAACCCCCCTACACATCACAATTATAAGTTGTGTGACTCTGGTACAGTAATACTACGGTACTAGAGTACCAGTGCTTCTACAGTCTACATGCATGCATCCACTAAACAAAACGGCAAAGAAACCAGATTAAAGGGATCCATGCTGATCCTCTAGGCTTCAGGTCAGTCTTCTCTTCATCAGCCTGAATTTACTCCTCCACTGCGCCCCCCCCCTCTCCCCTGCACATCCCCACCACTCCATGTGCTCACATCCCAATCTCTCAAACCAGCTCTCCCCTGAAACAAACACAACTCCCCAGAGCACAGCTGCTACCTCCTGGCGCTAATGAAAGCACATGCACTGGCAGAGCCAAAGGAAACCACGCAGCAGAGGGAAGAGCACAGAACACTGTGGGTGACCCGCTGTGATGAACACAGTGCAGCTTTGCAGTTTGCAGATTCGCAGTTTGCACCTGTGGTTCCAGCAAGCCTGAGGCCACCCATACAGACGTGCTCCCTCGTCGCTCTTTGCTGCTTCTCTTGACTGTTAACAACCAAAAGCCCGGCTCCCCACCACAAGCAGCATCCCACTCTACATTTCTGCTCCCACTGCAGCCATCACCGCCAGTCTCTACAGCTTCACAGAGCAGATCGCGTCTCAGTGCTAGTCTTTCAAGGTGAGGCACGCATAAATACCCGGCAGTCCGCCCTGCCTGTCCAACCCCAGAGTCCTTGAACCTTCCGACTTTAAGGCCTTCCGACTTTAAGGCTCAAGGATCCCAGCTTGAGTCACCACAGCCATACTGTAGTGTACTGCTGCAGGCGCCCGCAGCAACCTTTAGAGCAACCACCGTCTTGACTCAAGAATCATGTCCCTCGTCTGTATCCCCCTCACCCCGCACCCTTCTTCCTCCATTCCTCTTTCTCCACTCCTCCCCCACTTCCTTCTCAAGTCACCAAATCGCGCCACCTTACTCCTCACGTTTCCCCCCAACGCTGGCGGCAGCAGCAGCGGACTGCTTCTGTGCCACAGCAACCCACGAGCGGAGCATCCCCCTCTTCCTGCAACCCCCTCCTCCCCCACCCTTCCAGGCCATCAGATAACCACACCCTACTCCCCTCCCCCCTCAGCACTGGCAGCAGCAGCAGCAGCGGACTGCTCCTGCGCCGCAGCAGCAAGCAGGGGACAAAGCGTTTCCACCATATCAGTGATCAGCGCCCGCAGATTCGGATCCTCCTCAATACAATGCTTCGCACTGCTATGCTTCCACCCAAGCACCCAAGCCCAAGCACCCAAGCCCAAGCACCCAAGCCCAAGCACCCAAGCCCAAGCACCCAAGCCCAAGCACCCAAGCCCAAGCACCCAAGCCCAAGCGCCCAAGCCCAAGCACCCAAGCCCAAGCGCCCAAGCCCAAGCGCCCATCCTGATAAATATCCGACCCAAGCGTCCCACCCACCCCTGTTCTCTCTCCCACCCCCCTGTTCTCCCTCCCACCCCTGGGTCAGCGCACAGAAGCCCTACTCCCCGCCCCCTCCAGCACTGGCAGCAGCAGCAGCGGACTGTTCCTGTGCCGCCGCCACGAGGGGACGAAGCGTCTCCACCATATCACTCATCAGCGGCCGCAGATTCGGATCCTCCTCAATACAATGCTTCGCCGAAATTGCCAACTTATGCGCCGCCCGCTGCGCCGCCTTCGTCGTAAACTGGTCCAGCAGACACGGGTCAACCAACGCACCGATATCCGGCTTGCGCTGGTTCAAATACTGCTGTGCCCAGGCCGTGAGAGGCGGCATGCCCTGCTGGGTCTGATCCATGGCGCGTTTCCCTGTGAGGAGCTCGAGGAGCATAACTCCGAAGGCGTAGACGTCGGATTTGCGGGTGAGCTGGCCGGTTTCCATGTACTTGGGGTCGAGGTACCCCATGGTGCCCATGATGCGCGTCGTCACGTGGGTTTGGTCCGTGTCTGCCCCCTTGGCCAGCCCGAAATCCGTCAGCTTGGCGGACCAGTCCTGGGGGGGAGAGGAGGGAAGGGACGGAGGGAGAAGGGACAGGAGGAAAGGGGAAAGAGGGGGAAGGGGGAGAAGCGAGAGAAGGGGGAAGAGGGGGGAGATGGTGTGTGGAGAGGCAAGGCGTGCGGGTGAGCTGGCCGGTTTCCATGTACTTGGGGTCGAGATACCCCATGGTGCCCATGATGCGCGTCGTCACGTGGGTCTGATCCGTGTCTGCCCCCTTGGCCAGCCCGAAATCCGTCAGCTTGGCGGACCAGTCCTGGGGGGAAGGAGAGGGGGAGAGGGAGAGTGAGGGAGGGTGTGAGTGCAAGGCGTGTGCATGGGTGTTTGATCCGTGTCTGCTCCCTTGGCCAGCCCGAAATCCGTCAGCTTTGCGGACCAGTCCTGGGGGGAGGAGGGGGAGGGGGGAAGGAGGGAGGGTGTGGGTGCAAGACATGAGCGTGTACATACATCTGATCTGATCTGTCCTCTACTCCCTTGGTCGGCCCAAACTCCGTCAGCTTTGCAGGCCAGTCCTGGGAGAAAGGGAGAAGGAGAGCTGTGTTGGTAGGATAAGCGAGGTTATTAGTTGCTTGAATAAGCCCAACCTCATATAAGAACACTTGCAAGTAATCATGCAGGATGTTGGGGGCCTTGAAGTCGCGGTGAATCACGTTGTTCTCATGCAGGTACGCCAGGCCTGCACGACTGTCCTCTGCTATTTTTTAGCTTTACTTCTCTAGTAAGCACGGCACTCACATCATCAAGAAGGATGTTGGGGACCTTATAGTCACGGTGAATGACGTTGTTCTCATGCAGGTACGCCAGGCCTGCACCTTTTTTTGTGTTACCCCTGAGTTTTACTCTGTTAGTAAAACGCATTACTTACATCGTCAAGCAGGATGTTAGGGGCCTTGAAGTCGCGGTGAATCACGTTGTTCTCATGCAGGTACGCCAGGCCTGCAGCAGCATCCAGCGCAATGCGCAGCCGCACCTCCCATGGGAGCGGCGTGGGGGGCGTGGGGTCGTCCTCCTTGGGCTCTGCGGGGCGGAGAGGAGCGGAGAGTGGTGCAGGGGGGCGGAGATGGGAGGAGAGAGAAAACGAAGAGTGACAAAGAGCCCTGTCGAATCTCCCATGGGAGAGGCGCGAGCGAGGGGCGAGAGCGCCTTGGTAAGTGGTATAAATTCGTACACAACTACTCACCTGACCTGGTGAGTGGCAGATAACGAGTACAAAACACTCGCCTGGGAAGAGGTGGCAATCCAGACTGCCCTTCCCCAGGAACTCGTACACCAGCATACCCTCGCACCACTGCGACCTTACTCTAACAGCCTTGTACCAACTGGCTATACCTGGTAAATGATGCAAAAAAGAACTGTCAATAACGAGTACAGAATCACGCACCTGGGAAGTGGTGGTAGTCCAGACTGCCCTTGCCCAGGAACTCGTACACTAGCATACCCTCGCACCACTGTGACTCTTCTCGTATAACATTGTACCGACTGACTGACCAAGTGGTGGCTCTTGAACCTGTCCATAACGAGTACGCAGCTACTCACCAGGGAAGAGGTGGTAGTCCAGACTGCCCTTGCCTAGAAACTCGTACACCAGCATACCCTCCCCGTTCTCCGCGCAGTATCCAAGAAGCTTCACCAGGTTCTGATGGCGCACGCGACCCAGAAGCAGAATCTCCGCCTGGGGGGTCAAACGCGGCAGGGAAACAGGGATTTTAATATAATATGTATTATTTATTATTTTAGGCTTACAAAGCAGAAGCACAATTGCCACCTGGGGTGTCAAATGGGGCAGGGGTATGGGGGGCTGGAACACGCGTGTGGGGAGAGGGAAGTAAAACAGAAGACACACAGCATGTGGAAAACGGGCAATCTAGATATGGGCGCAGAGGGATTGGAACAAGCGAGAGGGGGAATGCAAGGTGCGTGTTTCTTTTCGTGAACTCACCAGCCACTCCTGTTTGCCCTGGAAGCTGTTCGGATTAAGCTTCTTGACAGCGATGGGAAAAGCGTCCTTGCTGCCCTCCCAGTCCTTGAGAAACCCCTTGTACACCTTGCCAAACCCAAAATGTATTTCCCATCGACTCGACTCACCAGCCACTCACTTAAAGCCGGCGGCCCAAATTGTTCATGCTTTTAAAAGTTGACCAGAGGGAGTTTTTCTGGTGTGGGCTTTGGCGAGAGTTTCCGATTTCGTCTAGGTTCGTTTTTTTCGCGAGACCCAGCCAACCCTCGGTTTTCCCCCTGGTGAGTGAATCTGTCTTCGAAAGTCCCAAATTGCAAGTGCGTGACTCTCAAAAGCTTGGACACTCAACTTCGTCAAGTTTTAAAAACTTGACCCTCGCGGCCCGCAATTTGGGACGCGGGCTTTAAGAATCCTCCAAGACTCACCAGCCACTCCTGCTGGCCCTGGAAGCTGTTCGGATTGAGCTTCTTCACAGCAATGGGAAAGGCCTCCTTGCTGCCCTCCCAGTCCTTCAGGAACCCCTTGTACACCTTGCCGAACCCGCCTTCTCCCAGCACGTTGTCGGGCTCTTTGAAGGCCTGCGTGGCCTTGTGCAGCTCCTTGAACTTGAACGTGCGCAGCTCAAACGGCGCTGCTGGAATGTCCAGCCCCATCAGCGCGGCCTCGCCCTGCGCGGGCGCTGCTGGGGGAGGGGGGGGAGGGGGGGGCGGGCCGGGGGAGAGGGGAGGGGGAGGAGGAGGGGAGGGGGGAAGGAGGGGGGAAGAGAGGAGACAGAAGAGGGGAGGGGAGGGAAGTGGGGGGTGTTGCGAGCACGTTGTCGGGCTCTTTGAAGGCCTGCGTGGCCTTGTGCAGCTCCTTGAACTTGAACGTGCGCAGCTCAGACGGCGCTGCTGGAATGTCCAGCCCCATCAGCGCGTTGTCCCCCTGCGCCGCTGCCGCTGGGGGAGGGGAAGGCGGGGGGAAGGGCGGGGGAGGGTGGAAGGGGAAAGTGGCGAAGAAGGGGGGAAAAGGGGGAGGGAGGGCGGAAGGAGGGGAGAGGAGGGAGAAGCGAGGGTGGAAGGAAGGGGGGAAAACAAGCGAGGGGGGAAGAAGAGTGACATCATAATTCCTAATCTCTCTCCCTCTGCTTCCCAAGTGTGACCTTCTACTGGCCAAGAAAACCTGAAACCACGCTCCATCACCCAGCAGGACGAAAAGAATAAATTCTGTCATATTCGCCATTCGTAACTCCCATATACCCAGCCAAACAGTCAAGGGATGACACTAACGAGGTTTTTCTGGTTCCTTAAGTTTCGGCTCTGGTATGTTGCAGCCTGGCGCGTAGACGCGCTTAACAACGCACGAAATTTTGCGAAAATGTCAGCAAAAGAGACGTACGAGGCTTCTCTGGTTCTTTGGGTTTCGGCGGCTCTGGAGCGGATGGCGCGGGTGCCTCATGTCCGTTCACGTTAGCTGAAAGGGGGAAAAACAAAGCACAGGAAAAACGGAGTAAGAGGAGAGAAAAAAACAAAAGACAGGAGAGGATATATACTTAAAAAAAACTGCAATCCTATTGTTTCAGGTGAACACAATTATGTAAGAAGAACTGTGCGAGAACTGCAAGCGTTAGTGAGTCAATATTTGAAAAGCAAAAGGGATGAAACAATGCGAGGAATCGGATAGCAGGCTATAAGTAGCACGTTGCCGCTGCTGCATAGGTGTGGCATACACTAAAGCTTGTGACAGAAACAAGGAGGAAGAGCGTTTGAGGACGGGAATAGGGCGACGGAAACTGAGTAGCAGCGGCGTCGAAGAAACGAAGAGTTGCAAACTGGAGAAACACCACGCATATCTCGATATGAAAAAAAACGAAAGCTTCGAATAAAGAACATAGCCAACGTTAGACGGCGCTTCTGACATTTGAGTTGGCCCTGAAATCGTTTCGCCTACATTTGTTGAGAGCTTATTGAGATGATGCATTTTCTGCGGCCCTGTTGTGTCAACTCAAGAGTTTTTTTTTTTTTCTACGTACCTTTGGCGGGAGCTTCATCAGTTGGACTTGACTCCGGAAACCGTTGGTCGACCTCCCCTCCCCCTCCTCCCCCTCCTAAGCAGTTACCCATTTCAGATAGTTAGCTCTACGAGACAGCTATGTCTTCAGCACTCAACGTGTCTTTCCATTGACCCCAGCCACAGCGAAACGAGTAGACTTTCCACGATAGTCGACAGACACCCGAATATTCTTGATATTTTTATTTACCAGCAACTTAATGCTACTCTAATACCAGGCAATGACGACTCGGGCCTATATTAGTCGTAAAAGGCTGCAGAGGAGAAGAGGTTCAAATAGTACACCTAGGTTTGTTGTCTAACAAGAGACGTAAACGTTAGTGTCTAACTGGCGACGGAAATAAGCTATCAACCTTGCCAAAACAATCAGCAATGTCTAGGTTTGGTTTGAGTCACTCGCGCCCTTGACTTAGGTCCCCTTTTCCCAACCGAAACAGGTTAGTTAGGAGAAAGGTAGGTGGAGGGGGGGACGAAGACTGCCTTGGGATTGTCGTGCTTGCCGATAACGATGTCGCGAGATTGTTTTATCGAGTACGAAAGACGATGGTTTTCTCTGGTGGTCGTTGGATGATGTTGAAACCAGGTGATTCTCAGCCACAAACGAGTACAGCAAGGCTTACTTCTGACTTTTGGATCCTTCGCGAAGGCAGATTCGAGTTCACCCACGAGCATCACGAAAACTGGGCAGGGACGGTAAATTTCTGCTGTTTTCTCGAGACATGTTGCGGCTCCCAAAACACCATGGGTGCCATCAGACTCGGAAAGTTTCATCTTTTGCACTACGATTTTTGTTTCCCGGTGGTGATAAATATACACGGTGCCTCCTGGGTAGCCCAAAACGGGTAAGTAGTGCCACTATGGAAATTTGGTCGGGTGACTGGGAATATTGAGCGGCTCGTTGGAGGCTTGACGGACGTGAGCGACTGTAATGGGGGGTCGCTATCAAAACCGAGAACGCCATTACAGCTTCTAGAGCAGCCAACGATTTTATAGAGAGTACCACTGAATATCTAAAACAATAAGTAAACTATCAGCCAACATTCACATTAGCATCACTCTGAAACTAACTTATGTATGACTGCTAGATAACCTAATGCTCTAACTTACTCCGACTTGGTTGGCTTGGGAGCTGATTTACCACGATTAAGGCGAGATGCCGGTGTGGAGTGCTCTGATTGGGTAAACCTGAGAAGCACCTGAACGACCGCGAGTACAGCAGCCACACCGACAGCGATCCATCCAAGAGTTGCCCATGTGAAGGTAATCGATGATAAGTTCCGAGTGAAGATCCAGCCATACACCACAAAGTTTAAAACCGTCCAGAAGCACGTGTGCTGCAGAATGTCCAAGGCACAGGCAGTGGCATCAATAACACAAGGAAATACGTAAGGGACATGGCATGCGACATGGTACAGACACCACCATTGATATAAAACATTGACATTTGCGAACATCGTTGCCGCCCTGTGCAAAACAGCAAAGCAAATCTGCACTAACCAGAATGCTTTTCGGACACTTGGTTGTGTTGAGCCTCAGCTTCTCATCAAAGCCATTGTGTTCAACATAATAATCCAGGTTCTTGTCCTGCTCAGTTCGCAAATGGGCAGGTCACAAGAGAAGAGTGGGATGGGGGCAGGAAGGTGGGGGAAGAGGGAAGATGACAATTTAGCCGCTTCGCAGAGAGTGTAACGGAGGGTCACAAATCTCAATGCCTCCAAAACAATAGACTCTTGAACCTCGCAACCCCGGTTGTCCCGTACCTTGGCAACAATCGCATCGAGTCACATAGACACACGGAAACCTGATGGGCATGTGCATAAAACCCTAGTCACTCCCCTTGTGCCTCTGGCTCTGCCCTTACCTTTTTCACAAATGATTCTTGGCCCATTTGGTGATGCCCTTTGCACCCTGAGGAATTTTGCGAATCATCAGAAGTGACTCAGATATACCCCGTGCGCCTCTCACTCGGCTCTCACCTTATTCAAGAATGATTCTTGGCACCACTTGGAGCTGCCCTCTGCATCCTGAGGGACCTGATCGAGGTGAATTTTGAGACGACTCAAAAGTGACCCTACCCTAGTCAACGCCTCTCACTCTGCTCTCACCTTTTTCACGAAAGATTCTTGGCACCACTTGGAGATGCCCTTTGCATCCTGAGAAATCTTTGTTTTCAGTCGTCTCCACATGCCCCTTGTGTGCCTCTCACTATGCTCTCACCTTTTTCACGAATGATTCTTGGCACCACTTGGAGATGCCCTCTGCATCCTGAGGGATTTGGTCCATGGGGACCCGCTCATAGTACACGTCAATCTGAGGGTGATGAGGATGAAAAGGGTGATGGGGTTGGAGAGGATAATGGGGTTGGAAACGCAAGGGATGGGAAGGGGAGAGGATATTTGAGACGTCTCAAGAATCCATTTAGTGATGCCCTGGCATCCTGAGGGATCTGGTCCATGGGGACCCGCTCGAAGTATACGTCAATCTGAGGGTGATGAGGATGAAAAGAGCAAGGGGTGGGAACGAGAAAGAATGAGAACGGTTAAGGGGTGGGGAACATGAGAGGGTTGACAACGGGCGAAAGGTGGGAAGGAGAGAGGGGCGGGAATGCTTCAGAATGGGGATGCACAAACGATGGGAACGGACTTGGAAGGAACAGGAGCAGGAGTGGGCTGGTAACACAATGGATTGCTAACAATGGAGTCACTTTAAGCATTCTCAAAAGTGACTCCGTGGGATGGGAACAGAAGCAGGATGGTGGCACAATGGATCGCTATCAACAACCACAGTCGAAGCTTCAACACAGAGGGATGGGAACACTGTGTGCTGCACGTAGGTGGGGAGATAGACGAAAGAATGGGGAATGGGGAGAGAAGGAGGGTCGGAGTGAGGAGGGAGAGAGGAGGAGAAGGGTAGGGAGGAATTTAACAAGTGAAAGGGGGCAGGCAGAGAGGCTGATCACTTCCCTGCAAGGCCTTTCTCTTTAGAAATGTTAGTTAACGTCGCAGGTGTTGACTGTTTTTTTTTTTTTTTTTTTTTTTTTTTTTTCCCCAGGTTTTTAGCAAAGACCTGTTGCCGCCAGAAGGGGCGGGCCGATTACCTGCGAGGCCTTGCGCTTGAAAATGTTAGCGAACGTTGGGGGGTTCTTCCCCACGGGGTAGTTAACGGTGAAGTCATAGATAGCCCCCGCATGGCCCCGCATCTGCTCCACTGACATCACCAGGCCCTGATTCCAGAGACAGATGCATGGGAAGAGCGGATGGGTGGAGAAGAGGCATATGAGGTAGAGTGGAACAGCTGAAAACCTTGGTGCAGGGCACGAGCACGTGGTGGGGGGAGGGCAGCCCGGCTTCCTTGGCGTAATCCTGCGCCGCCTTGAGCATTTTTTCTGTGGCGCCCCAACAGCCAAATACTGCTCGGTTCCTATCCACCTTGATGCACTCCTGCCCACCGTACTGCACTCCTGCCTACCCACCTTGGTGCGGGGCACGAGCACGTGGCGGGGGATGGGTAGCCCCGCCTCCTTGGCGTATTCCTGCGCCGCCTTGAGCTTCTCAGGTGTGAAGCGCGTGCCTTCCATGAACAGCGCCACCCAGAAGAACCGCGGGAAGCTGCGCAGCCGCGCATAGCCGTCCTGAGGGAGAGCGGGAGAGGCAGAGACGGAAACCGGAGGAAGAAGGGGGGGTAGAGGCAAAGAGTTCCAAGCGTCTTGAGGGGCAGTTCAGGAGAGCAAGCCGCCTTGAGCTTCTCAGGTGGGAAGCGCGTGCCTTCCATGAACAGCGCCACCCAGAAGAACCGCGGGAAGCTGCGCAGCCGAGCATAGCCGTCCTGAGGGGGACAGGGAGAGAGAGAAACAAACCGGAGGAAGCAGGAACGTAAGAGATAGGGGTAGAGGGAGCAGGGGATAGGGGAAGAAAATTCTAGGGGGCTTGCAACTGCGGAGTATCTGGAAACGGACAAATATGGGGCAATATCTCGCAAGAGCGGTTATCTTCACAAGTATTCTGCTTGCCGAGCTAAATTAATCATTTCTTACGAGTATTCTCCGTTGGTCGGTGGCGTAGTTACGGGCGATGAAGAGGTATTCGGAGAACCACATGGACCAGCCAATCACAGGCATCCACTTGGCCTCCTCCTTGATCAACGCCCGCGTGCCTCCAAGGCAGCCGCACCTCTGCAGTGGCGTGGGAAACAGAGGGGAGGGGCCGGAGATGAGCGGGGAGGACGGAGATGAGTGGAGGGAGAGTGGGGGGGGGGGAGCGAGTGGGGGATATCTCTCCGTTCTGGCGACTCTCCTTCTTAGCATCGTTTCACTGCTCTAATAGCTCCGTGAAGGTTCCGTCCGTGCTTACATGAAACATCTATGTTACTACCCATGTTCCTAGGATGTATGCGAGGCCGCTACAGATTGACCGCATAATGAGAAGGATCGAGAGACACCCACCTGGGAGAAAACCCAGCCGATGGCCCAGTCAACGTCGCTGCGGTGGTTGCTCACACACAAGGCGCTCTCCTTGCCTGTCGGACAGCACGAACGGAGGAGAGCGCACGAAGCAAAGAGATTCGCGTGCAGCACGAGCGGAATGAGTAGGTCGCGAAAGGATATGCAGATGCAGAAGACAGCAGGATCATCAGCTGAGTGACGTGTGTGCTTCGCAATGTCGGATCGGTGGGGAAGATGTCTATGTGTTTAAAGTCTTAATCAACCGCGTACCGTAATATGCGTGATCCTTGGGATCGCCGTAGAGCCGGACCTGCGGAACGCGTTGACACACGAGCACAGCGGAATACGAGGTTTCCGTCAGGTGTTGCGTCAACAACGCGTTCTGTCTTACTGAAGAAATAGAGCTTTCTCGTAACTCTCCGTATATTCACACGTTTAAAGCGACGAATCGGTAAGAGCACGCACCTCGACGCGGCCCCACCACTCGATGAGCCAGATGAGCATTGCCCAGAAGGATCCCATGAGGTACCAATTAATGACGCGGTACGTGCGAGGGCTGATGGGGAACACGAAAATGGAGAGCGCGATCTGCGGAAACGGGCGGGAAATCGAGGAATAAAGGACGGAGCGCGAACGAAGGGAGGATGCATAAGTTTAGATGTTGCCAGAGCGGAAGTTGGGACGGCGTTTCAAATTTCGGCTGCGAGATTTGGTAGATTTCTAGGGAAGCACACCTGGATGGTGGTGACTATGAGACTTGATGCAAGGAAGTTGACGGCGATCGGGATGGTGAAGATCACGGAAGCCATGGCGGCCGTAGGGGTCCAGCAAAAATCTGGCACCCTTTCACTAGAAATCAGTGAATCAAGCAGGCAGATTCACCGTCAAAATGAGAACCTGAACTCCTAAATTAGCCTTGGAAATGGCTGGTAACTTGGCTGAAATAGCATCTCTTTCTAGAGTCTGTCTGCTCATGTATGGTGTCAAGGTGGTGTGGTGTGTGGTCAGAGTGAAAACCCATTCCCGAAGTGCCACCCAGGACCCGTGAATCCTAGGGCTGAGAGACTCCGTGCGGCCTGGCGCGAAAATCGAGTGGGAAAGATCGAGGGAACCTGATTGGCGGAGGTTCGTTTTCTTGATGAGAGAGTACATGGCGGAGGTTCGCAGATTCTGATGAGGTTCGAGTGTAGAGTTGCTTCAAACAAAGTGTTATGGAATATATATTGCACTGCCTGCGTCAGCAGGCAGTGCAATGAGTCAGCAGGCAAGGAAAAAAATGAAACCCACTTGGAAGGCATGCCATTCGGGAGGCATCAACCCTAAAATTTTAGGGTTGAGGCTCCCGAATGGCATGGAGTCCGAAATGGGTTTTAGTTTTTTTCTGCCCACGGTCAGCATGCTGACTCACTCGGTAGCGTCGTCTAGCCAAATGGTAGCGCTACCGAGCGCTACCGACGCTACCAAGTGCAATATATCGGGTGCAATGAATCGAGGTAGCGAGGAGTACAAAGTACGAGCGAAGGCATGAGCGAATACTTATATGCGAAACATGCAAACGATAACGCTGTGCGCGCGAGCTAGCTAGTGCTACGCTGGCGCGAGGTTCGGGCTAGTCCCGAAGCGTAGGCTGACTCGGCTGCTCCAGCAATGCGAGGTTTGGTGAAACAGTGCGCGCGAAGTTGGCGAAGCCCCGTTAGCAGTAACGGGCGAACAACGGTTGCGGCTGTGTGCGATATTGACGGACGCAGTAAGGAATAGCGAGAAATTTCCTTACACTACCGCCCCCCCCCCCCCCCCCCCCCCCCCCCCCCCCTCCCTCAAGAAGCCCCCTCCGCTACGCGAGTGCGTGTATATCGCGGAAACCCCGGTTCCTCAGGTATACTTGCAGGGCAAGGTGATTTTCGATGTTGGCCAGGGGCACCTATATCAAACATATATGTATATTTGTTATAGTTTGGTTAGGCTTAGTGGGGTACTCACTGTTAGAACTAGTAGTAGAAAGTAAGAATGAAGAAAGGAGGGGTTTCACTAGCAAGCAGTTGAGTACATATAGGAAACCCTAGATTGGGCTGTACTCGCTATAGAGTACCCCACTGCAGGCTAGACAAATACAACATTCTGACACACCCCCATAGCCAAAGTGGGGTGTAATCAGCACAATGAGCAGGTATAGCAGGAGTTCACAATAAGAAGCAAAGCTAGAGGTAATCACAGCGGGCAAGTGAGGAGGAGGAGGGACTGTGAGAGGAGAGAAGATGAGAGACGGCGGCTGAAGCTGCAGACACACGGGCAACAGGAGCTGCTGGCACAGTGGCTACCGGGACAGTGCGCCCCGGACTACTGGAGTAACTGGCTCACGGGCTACGACGAGCTACAGGAGCAACGGACCCTCGGGCGACAGGCGCAGCAGACTCTCTGGGCTACCAGGACAGTGCGCCCCGGACTACAGGTGCTGCGGACGACAAGACAGCAGCCTCCGCTCAACCTCCTCCAACTGTCCCCACACACCCACTGCTTCACTCCTAACTCCACTTGCACGTCACCCCCCTAGTACCACTCCTTCGGCTCCCACACACCCACCCCCCTCAGCGGCAGCTGCAGCACTGGGAGACGGAGGAGGAGGAGGAGCAGGGGACGACGCACAGAAACTGCACCCCCATACCCCCCACCCCCAAACCCTAATTCAGGAGAACGGGCAGCAGCAGGGGTGGGGCGCCGTCAGAAGCACGGGGGACAGCGGGCAGCGCAGGGGCAGAGAAAACAGGGCGCCCACGGGCCTGGCGCAGCCCGTACGAACCGCGTGCGGGCGGCCCGAGGCGCGCCCTGGCCTGGCGCAGTCCGTACGGGCCGCGCGCGGGCCTGGCGCTGCCCGTACGGGCCGCGCGCGGGCCTGGCGCAGCCCGTACGGGCCGCGCGCGGGCCTGGCGCAGCCCGTACGGGCCGCGCGCAGGCTGTACGGGCCGCGCGCGGGCCCTACGCAGGTCGCGCAGGCCGCGACGGGCGACGGGGGGCGACGCGCGGGTCCCCGTCGCCCGTCGCAGCGCCTCCCGGGAGCGACGCGCGGAGTGACGGGGCAGAAAGCCGCCGCACGCCTCGGGGCGCACGGCGGGCAGAAAACCGCCGCGCGCCTCGGGGCGCACGGCGGGCAGAAAACCGCCGCACGCTCCGAGCGCGCGGCGGGATGAAAAATCCGTCGCACGCCACGGGGCGTGCAACACACAGAGTAGCAGTAGCAGCGGAAGCAGTGAGGTGGTGGGCCCACCCACAGGATCGACCCAAGGGGATCGACCTGCTCTGATAGCATGTTAGAACTAGTAGTAGAAAGTAAGAATGAAGAAAGGAGGGGTTTCACTAGCAAGCAGTTGAGTACATATAGGAAACCCTAGATTGGGCTGTACTCGCTATAGAGTACCCCACTGCAGGCTAGACAAATACAACATTCTGACACTCACTGTGGGGTACAACCCCTTAGGTTTCTCCTTTGTATCTTCCCCCTTCCATAGTCGACACAACTTTCCCGTAAGATTCTAACATGGTATTAAGAGCTAGGACGTTCCTAGCCTAGGACGATTTTTTTAGGGCCCACCGTTAAACCTTCCGTGTTCCTGCCCGAATCTCGTTCTCTGCTTTTTTTCTGCCCGAAATGCGCCCTTAGGTGCATCGATTTTCGCTGCCCGCGGCCCTGCCCTGTCCTGTCGCGCGTAGCCAGCGAGCAGCCCGTACAGCCCCCGTCTGGCCTTCGCGCCGCCCGTACAGCCCGCGCCACGCCCGCGCGCGGCTCGTATAGCCTACGTTAGGCCCGCGCGCGGCCCGTACAGTCAGCGCTAGGCGTTAGCGCAGCCCGTACAGGCCAAGTCAGGCCCGAGAGCGGCCCGTACAGTCCGCGCTAGGCATTCGCGCAGCCCGTACAGGCCACGTCAGGCCCGCACGCGGCCAGTACAGCCAACGCCAGGCCTACACGCTGCACTGTGCCTGTGTTGCTGCTTCTACTTGCTGCCGCTGCTGCTACTTGCTGCAGCCGCCCCTGCAGCCGCCCCTTGCCCCTGGAGCAGCCGCCCCTGCAGCAGCCTCCTCTGGCCCCTAAAGCAGCCGCCCCTGGTCCAGCCGCCCCTGAACCCAGAGCAGCCGCCCCTGGCCCCTGAAGCAGCCGCCCCTGGTGCAGCCGCCCCTGGACCCTCGAGCAGCCGCCCCTGGACCCAGAGCAGCCGCCCCTGGCCCCTGCAGCAGCCGCCCCTGGACCCAGAGCAGCCGCCCCTGGCCCCTGAAGCAGCCGCCCCTGGACCCTCGAGCAGCCGCCCCTGGACCCAGAGCAGCCGCCCCTGGCCCCTGCAGCAGCCGCCCCTGGAGCAACCGCCCCTGGACCCAGAGCAGCCGCCCCTGGCCCCTGCAGCAGCCGCCCCTCGAGCAGCCGCCCCTGGACCCCGAGCAGCCGCCCCTGGCCCCCAGAGCAGCCGCCCCTGGCCCCTGCAGCAGCCGCCCCTCGAGCAGCCGCCCCTGGACCCCGAGCAGCCGCCCCTGGCCCCTGAAGCAGCCGCCCCTGGTGCAGCCGCCCCTGGTGCAGCCGCCCCTGGACCCTCGAGCAGCCGCCCCTGGACCCAGAGCAGCCGCCCCTGGCCCCTGAAGCAGCCGCCCCTGGTGCAGCCGCCCCTGGACCCAGAGCAGCCGCCCCTGGTGCAGCCGCCCCTGGATCCCGCGACGCCGCCCCTGGACCCGCGACGCCGCCCCTGGACCCCGTGCAGCCGCCCGCCGAGCGCCGGCCCTGCTCGCCCAGCGAGCGCCTGCTCTACCCGACACTGGTGAGCACCTGCCTTGTTAGCGCGCTGCCGCGCCATCTGCCTGCCTGCCTGCCTGCCAGCCTGCCAGCCTGCCTGCCTGCCTGTCTGCCTGCCTGCCTGCCTGCCAGCCTGCCTGCCTGCCTGCCTGTCTACCTGTCTGCCTGCCTACCTGCCTGCCTGCCTGTCTGCCTGCTGCGCCTGCTCTGCTAGGCTACTGCTACTGGTACTGGAGGTGGCCAGATGCAGCTCCAGCGACGTCCGCGCGAGTCTCTCACGCCCCAGCAGCTTCGTGAGTGGTACGCTAGTTGGGGTTGTGGCGGTAGTCGTCGTAGCTGTCGCCCTAGAGCTGGTCAGTTGGGAACGTCTGGCGGTGGCCGGCTGCAGCTGCAGCCGCGTCCACGCGAGACACTTACGTCCCAGCAGCTTCACGAGTGGTACGCTCAGAGTAGAGGGTCTTTGAGTACCGTTCGCTGCCCGTACGTCATTCGCACAGGAGATCGGACGGGTCAGACTTGTGGGACGCTTAGTCACACCCAGTCCCGCTGCTTCGCCCGTCTGAGTGACGCCTGGCGTACCGAGTTTGGCGACGAGGCTGAGCTCCCCGACTGGGTGGAGCTGCTTGGGCAGAGGGTAGATATATTTGCTCTTGACTATGCTACTATTCTCACTGCTATGTATGCCTTGTCTGTTAGTGCTGAGGGTGACTGCTACTTGTGTGTGCCGCCGGAT